CCCGGGAGTGCAGTGGAAAGATTGGCCCAAGTGCTTGGGCCCTGCACCCCATGGGAGACCAGGAGAAGCACCTGGCTCCTGGCTTCGGATCAGCGCGAAGACCTTTGTCTCTCTCTCATTGTCCACTCTGCCTGTCCAAAAAAAAAAAAAAAAGATTCAGAAAGCTCCAGCTGGAAGGTAAAGGAAGCTTGATCTCTTGGATTCTGCCCACTTGCGGAACAGATCTGGAAGGTGGCGCACTTGTTCCATGTCGCACAGCCACAGAGACCGGACTTCACCCCAAGTTGTTTGAAACTGTGACCTGGCAGTGGCCCTGTGGCTTAGCGGGTAAAGCCGCAGCCTGCAGTGCAGCCATCCCATATGGATGCCGGTTTGAGTCCCGGCTGCTGCACTTCCAATCCAGCGCTCTGCTATGCCTGGGAAAGCAGTAGAAGATGGCCCAAGTGCATGGGCCCCTGCACCCGCGTGGGAGACCTGGAGGAAGCTCCTGGCTCCTGGCTTTAGATCAGCACAGCTCTGGCTTTTTTGGCCAATTGGAGAGTGAACCAGCAGATGTAAAACCTCTTTCTCTCTCTGCCTCTCCTCCTCTCTTTGTAACTCTTTCAAATAAATAAATCTTAAAAAAAGAAAAGAAAAGAAAAGAAAAGAAAAGAAAAGAAAAGAAAAGAAAAGAAAAGAAAAGAAAAGAAAAGAAAAGAAAGGAAAAGAAAGGAAGGAAGAAAGAAAACCCAACCTGATCAGGACAACCTGAGAATCAGCTTCCGGACACACATCGAGTGTATCGGCGCTCGTGTAACCGGGCTGGATCCGCGAGCAGAAGCAATCCATTGCTTTTGCCTGTATGTGCTGAGCGCTGATTGGTCCTGGTTTAGGAAGCGGAAAAGAGCGTGCGCGAGGGGCCCGCGGAGGCAGAACCAGTCTAGGGGAGGCCATGGCGTCGCTGAGGTGTAGCACCGTGGTCTGCGTGATCTGTCTGGAGAAGCCCAAATACCGCTGCCCGTCCTGTCGCGTGCCCTAGTGAGCAGGGAGGCGGTGAGGGTGGGGCCGGGGGAGCGCGCGTTCAGGCGTCGGCGGGAGGGCCGCTGGGGGGCGCGGCCCTGTTGCTGATGCCCCTGTGTCTCTGTCACAGCTGCTCCCTGACCTGCTTCCGAACCCACAAAGGTAAGCTCCCGCGCCCGCCTGCCGTCCGAGTCCTGCCGGCTCGTCGCGGGTCCCTGGCGTCCTCGGGCTTCCTCCCGCAGGGTGGCGGGGACCCCGGGGACGCTCGTGTCCTGGCCGCCTCGCTGGGTGCGGGACTGCCGCTTGTAATTGTCTCCCCGGGGTCCCGAACGACCAAAAACCTGCTACCCTGCCTCTCGCGCGCGCTTGCCGTCTCTCTCCTCCTTTTTCTTTAAAAGTAGGCGACTCCTTGCGCTGCCAGTTCCCCTCGCTACTTCGTGGGCTCAGCGTTCTGGGGCGGCTCCTCACCGCTTTCTCTTTTAAATGTTAGCAACAATGGCGGAGGCCTGTTTACAGTATACAGAAAGCCCTAAGCCTGTCAAGAGTAAAAAAAACCTCAAGACCTGTATATTATCTGAGCGTTTTTTTTTTTTTTTTGGACAGTTGAAAAGTGTTTACCTGTATGTATAAATTCTCAAATACATTTAGATATGCGCTTAACAGATCTGTAAATACTGTATCTTTAAAATGTGTGACTATGAAACAGGTGTGTGCCAGAAAATAACTATTGTTGCTGGCTGCTGTTTTATAGTTGAATGATTTTTCTCTTTTTTTATTTAATTTTTTTTTATTAGAAAGGGTTACCAAGAGAGGAGAAGAGACAGAGAAGGAGAGGGAGAGAGAGAGACCGCTTCCATCCACTGGTTCCCTCCCCAGATGGCTGCAATGACCAGGGCTGGGCCATGTCGAAGCCAGGAGCCCGGAGCTGCTTCTGGGTGTCCCACGTGGGTGCAAGGGCCCAACACTTGGAACATTTTTACTGCTTTCCCAGGCGTATTAGCAGGGAGCTGGATTGGAAGTGGAACAGCAGGGCCTGGAACCCGGCGCCCACATGGGATGCTGGCGTTGCATGTGGAGGCAATACCACAACGCCGGCCCCTGATTTTCCTCTTTTAACATTAGTTATATGTTTTCTGAAGGTACTATTATATATTTAATTAAAAAATCATTTATTTGAAAGGCAACATTACAGGAGAAACAGCGAGAAAGAGGTCTTCCAACTCTTGGTTCACTCCCCAGATGGCCACAACAGCCAGTGCAGGCTGAAGCCAGGAGCCAGGAATTCCATCTTGGTTTTTCCATGTGGGAGGCAAGGCCTAAATACTCGGGCCATCTTCTGGACTTTCCCAGGCACATTTCAGGAAGCTGCATCGGAAGTAGAGTAGCTAGAACCCTATACATTTAATTTTTAAAAGTTTCAAGTGTTTTAGAAAGTAAAACTCATTAGGCCTAATGAGTTTTAGAGAATTCTACCCCCCAGTAAAAAATTATGGTTAAAAGTTTGGTGTTGGGGCTGGTGTTGTGGTGCAGCAGGTTAAGCCACTGCTTGCAAGCCGGCATCTCATACATGAGTACTGGCTTGAGTCCTGGATGTTCTGTTTGCAATCTGGCTCCTTGCCAATGTGCCTGGGAAAACAGTGGGCCCCTGCCACTCATGGGAGACTCAGGTGGAGTTCTAGGCTCCTGGCTTCAGCCTGAACCAGCCCGGCCATCACAGCCATTTGGGGAGTGAACCAGTGTCTCCCTCTTCTTTTGGTGTACCTTTCAAATAAATGAGTGAATCTTTACAAGAAAAAATGATATTTCCTTATGTTTGTTGTCACAGTGGCCGACTTAGGGTACCTGGTAGTACTGCTGGTAGCTGGTATTGGGCTCAGATGTTTATTCTGCCCTGTGAGACTGTCCCAGACCACTACAGATGTGGCCCTGAATACCAGTAGTCCTTAGCAAGGACACTACTGGTATGGTTTGGAGAGGCACTTCTGTGTCTGGCATTTCACTGGCTTCCCCTCTGCCGCCCCAGTAGCCAGCTGGCAGTTGCTCATCACCACGTCCTCGTATCCGACCCACTGCTTTCAAGCTTCCTGCCAAGGCATAGCCCTTTCCCACTGCCAGGAATGCTTGTTTTCCCTCCTCCTGGAGTGCTCTTGGTCTTGTGTCCTGGCTTTCTTGGGGGCCCTGGACCAACCCCTTCCTCTATGTGTGTCTCTAGTGGTCATCTCAGCTGGGAGCAGTGACTTTTGTCTGTTTTCCCAGTGGCACAGGTATGTCTGGAACTGCAGAGACAATCAGTGGATGCTGGTTGAAGTCAGTGTGCCACTCCCTCGGGTGAAAGCCCTGCAAATTAGGCAGGGATGGGGTGGGGCCAGGCTCTTGGAGTGTAGGAGCCCTGCGTCCTCTGTGCTTCTCCCAGGCTTAGGTCGCTCATGAGCCTCCTTACCCTGCCGCGCGCGGTGAGCGCCGCTTCCTCTGCATCTCTTTCTCAGATGCATGCTTCCCACCTAGCAGCTGGCTTGGTGGCAAGGTGCAGGCTTCTCACTGAAGTGGAGGGGCTGTGTGGCTGAGATCTTTCTCTTTCAGAGCAGTGCAACCCTGAAACTCGTCCTGTTGAGAAAAAAAGATCAGCTGTCTCTGCCAAAACTACGAAGCCGGTGGAAAACCAAGGTGGGTTGGTTGACTTCAGACCAACCAGGCAGGGTTTCACCTAGGATAAGTGGAACACAAAGAGGGGATGAGGCTGGGCAGGGGGAGTGGAGAAGGGTGGCTTCATTACGTAGTACCAGCATCCTTGGGAGAATCCAACTTCCTGCTGATGTGCCTGGGAAAGCAGCAATAGGGTGTGTTGTCACAGGTGGCATTGGGAGAGCAGCCAAGAATCATTTACAAAACCAAGGGCAGTGCATTGGTTTGGGGTGTGGGGTGGGCCCTGGTGGCAGGAACCTTTAAAAAAAAAAAAACTTATTTTTGTTTATTTGAAATGCAGATTGACAGGGAGATGGAGAGAGAGAGAGATCTTCCACCTGCTGGTTTACTCCCAAAGTGGCTGCAGAGGCCGAGGCTGGACTGGCTGAAGTCAGTAGCCTGGAACTCCCATCTGGGTCCTCCACGTGGGTGGCAGGGCACTGCTTTCCCGAATGGATTAGCAAGGAGCTGGATTGGAAGTGGATCCGTTAATGGCTTTGCAGGTGATAGCTTAACCTGCTGTGCCACAGTGCCAGTCCCAGGAACCTTTAGTCACTGCTCTGGGTCTCCCTCCCCGAGCCTGGCAGGGGCTGTCAGTTCACCTGAGTTAGGTCCACAGCAGGAGGCGTCCTTGGGCCTGGGTCAGCTCATTACTGCTGGGGGCTTCCCAGAGCTTACAGCATACGCAAACCATCAACCCATCCAGCCAGTGTTTGTGGTTTTTTATTTTTTATTTATTTGAAAGGCAGAGTTAATAAAAAGGGAGAGAGATATCTTTCATCTGCTGGTTTACTTCCTAGATGACCACAGCAGCTAGGGCTGTTGCATGCTGAAATCAGGAGCCCAGAACTTCATCTGGGTCTCCCACACATGGGTGCAGGGGCCCAAGCACTGGGGCTATCTTCTGCTTCTTTCCCAGGCACATCAGCAGGGAGCTGGATCGGAAGTAGAGCTATAGGATGCCAGTGTCACAGGTGGCTGCTTAACCCTCTGTGCCACAATGCCAACCCCGGCAGTGTTTAATGCTTCCTGAGAGTCTGGCATTGTACCAGCCTCTGAAAGCAGCCCCTCTGGTTCTGCCAAAGAGGTACTGAACATTCACAGTGCAGGGATAGTCCATTTCTGTCCTTGAAGAAACTTACAGGTTGAGTTCAGGCAGTGCCGGCCATTTCTGTCCATGCTCAAAGCACAGAGGATCCTGTTCAGCAATGCTGAATAGTTTATTTACTGGCCCGTCACAGTACCGGAGAGGTGGTTTGCTGAGAATTGGGAAACCAGGCTCTAAGCCCAAAGACCACAGGGAAACATCTAGAGGAAGTGTGTGAATATTAAGATGCACATAAGTTAAAAAACACCAAGCAGGGCAGGTACTGTGGTGGAGTGGGTTAAGCCGCTGCTTGTGATGCAGGATCCCATGTTGGAGCACCAGTTCCAGTCCTGGTGGCTGTGCTTTCACTTCGGTTCCCTGCCAGTGCACGTGGGAAGCAGAAGTGGCCCAGGTGCTTGGGTTCCCGCCACCCTCATGGGGGACCTGGAGGGAATTCTGTCTGCCTGGCCCAGATGTGGCTGTTAGGGCCATTTGGGGAGTGAATCAACAGATGGAAGATCTGTCTCTGTTGCTCTCCTTTCAAATAAATAAATTTTAAAAGGGGGGAGAAGGGGTGAGGAGCTTGTAAAACCGCCACCTGCAACACCAGCATCCCATATGGGTGCTAGTTGAGTCTATGTGGGAAACCTGGAGGAAGCTTCTGGCTTCAGCCTGGCCCAGCTCTAGCCATTGCAGCCGTTTGGGAAGTGAACCAGAAGGTGGAAGATCTCTGTCTCTCCCTGCCTGTCCCTCTGTATCTCTGCCTTTCAAATAAATAAAAATCTTTTTTAAAAAATCAGTTTTTTCACTAATTTTATAAAAAGGTAGTGTTAATATTATTATGAATTTGAGAAGATTTTTTGATTGTGAGGGTATTTAGGGCTGGCACCGTGGCTCGCTTGGTTAATCCTCCGCCTGCGGCGCCGGCACCCCATATGAGCGCTGGGTTCTAGTCCTGATTGCTCCTCTTCCAGTCCAGCTCTCTGCTGTGGCCCGGGAGGGCAGTGGAGGATGGCCCAAGTGCTTGGGCCCCTGCACCCGCATGGGAGACCAGGAGGAAGCACCTGGCTCCTGGCTTCGGATCAGCGCAGCACTGGCCATAGCGGCCATTTGGGGAGTGAACCAATGGAAATAAGACCTTTCTGTCTGTCTCTCTATAACTCTACCTGTCAAGTAAAAACAAAATACTAATTTCAAAGTTTGTGGAACAGTGAAATTAAAAGATATTTATTTTGGTGCAAAGAAAATTCTGAAATGCATGCATAGTATTTCCATAATGCTCAAAAATTTTAAAAAACCATTATTTATTTGAAAGAGTGATGGATCTTCCATCTGCTGGTTCATTCCCTAGAAGGCTGCGATGATAGGGCTGGGCCAGGCCGGAGCCAGGAGTCAGCAGCTTAACTTGGATCTCCCACAAGGGTGCAGGGGACCAAACACTTGAGCCATCCTCTGCTGCTTTTCTCAGAATCAGAACAGCCAGGACTTGAAGTGGTGCCCGTATGAGATGCTGGTGTTGCAGGCAGTGGCTTAATTTGCTGAAACACAACACTGGCCCCTTGCTTTTCTTTTTAAAAGAATTATTCATTTGAAAGGAGAGAGAGCCCTTGTACTGGTTCATTCTCCAGAGGACCACAACAGCTGGTTCTGGGCCAGGCCAAAACCAGGAGCCAGGGACTTAATCCAAGTCTCCCATATACATGGCAGGGACCCAACTACGTGAGCCGTCACCTTCTTCCCAGGTGTGCATCGGCAGGAAGCTGGAATCAGGAACAGAGCCAGGACTTGAACGGAGGCACTCCAGTAAGAGAGGCAGGCATCCACGCGGTGTCTTGAGTGCTGTGCCAGGTGCCTGCCCCTCCATGAGCTTTCTGAAGCCCCTTGTGTAGCTACTTGTATCCCCCTTTCATGTCACAGTGTTCCTGAACATTTTTTGTGGGAAAGTTTTGTTAAATACTTGTTTGAAAGGCACATCAAAGAGAGAGGGAGAGACAGATCTACCTGCTGCTTCATTGCCAAATAGCAACAGCTAGGGGTGGGGTGGGCTAGGCTAGGCTGAAGCCAAGAGCTCCATCCTGGTCTGCCTTATGGGTGACAAGTGCCTAAGTAATTGGGCCATCATCTGCTGCTTCCGTAGGCACATTAGCAAGAAGTTGGAACAGTGGAGCCAATGGGACTTGAACCTGGTGTCATAAATGACAGCTTAACCTGCTGTGCCAAAATGCAAGCCCCTGTGTTTTTACCTGTTGGCAGTTGGTCAAATCTGATACATCATAATTAGTTGATTATGTTCTGTATTCCTTAGATAATGACGACTCCGTAGCTGATTTTCTGAATAGTGATGAAGAGGAAGACAGAGTTTCTTTGCAGAATTTAAGGAATTTAGGTAAGTCTGTGCCATGTTTATTTCTTTGTCAAGCATTGAGATACATTTCCTCTGTTGTATGCAGTATGATTTTTCAAAAGTTACAAAGTGGAGGACCCTTCTAAAGGATTTTTGGCTTCCCAGGGTGCCATGTTTTCTTTTTTAAAGATTTATGTATTTGAAAGGCCGAGTTAGAGATAGAGGCAGGGAGAGAGAGAGATTCCATCTGCTGGTTCACTCCCCAAATGGTCACAATGGCTGGAGCTGGCCCATTCCAAAGCCAGGCGCATCTTCTGGGTTTCCCATGTGGATGCAGGGGCCTAAGCACTGCTTTCCCAGGCACATTAGCAGGGAGCTGGATTGGAAGTGGAGCAGCTGGGATGCAAACCAGCACCTATGTGGACGTTGGTGCCACAAATGGCAGCTTTGCCTGCTATGCCACAGTGCTGGCCCCACTCAAATTTTAAGGTAATGTATCTTTTAGACCCTGAACCAGGGCAGGGACTTGTATTCTGAGCTCAGTGTGCAGTCCAGTCCTTACTGCAGATAGACTAAGATTTGCTTTGTTAGGAAGACACAGGTATAAATGCACCTTGTGGTAGCATCATTTGGTCAGTACTTTTAGTAGTTATGTATATAGTTAGTGGAATAATGCAGTTCCTAAAAGTGGGCATTATTGTCCAAAAAATTTCACAGAATTTGGTTGAAAGTTGCTTGCACATAGTCCCTTGGCAGTGACTAGTTCGGCTGAGGTTCACAGCTGAGCTGTGAACAATTTCATCACCTATAAAGTACCGGCAGGTGGTGTTCTGGCCCTGCTGTATCCATGCTTAGACATCAGTATGTGGTGTAACTGTGCTCACCACCCAGAACCTTTATACCAAGTTTCTCTGCATGTAGTTGAAATGGCATGAAGTTACAATGTTTATAGAGATTCCAGGGTAACAGGAACCTGTTACTGCATTTAACTTGGAAATCATTTACTATGCTATACTCACCTTGGTTACATGTGAAGCATTAGGGTTAGTTTGTGAGTATAAAGGGGATGCAACATTAGACTTAGAGCTGTCTCCACCAGTTCCCACTTCAATTCAGATTGGCTTTTTTTGTTGTTAAGGGGAATCTGCTACGTTAAGAAGCTTACTGCTGAACCCACACCTGAGACAGCTGATCATCAGCCTTGATCAGGGGGACGACAAAGCCAAGCTCATGAGAGACTACATGCAGGAGCCCCTGTTTGTGGAGTTTGCCGACTGCTGTTTAGGAATTGTGGAGCCATCCCTCAAAGAAGATTCTTAAAATGGATTTAAATGCTGTGTGACTGTCAAGCAACCAGCGAGTGAGGGGCTCTAAACAAGGCAGGGACCGGCAGGACCCAGATGGCTGAGGTGGGCTACGAAGCTGCCTGGGCTCATGCTTCAGGCACATGGTGTGTATGACGAGTGGCAGATCCTTTAAATTTATAAAGGGAAAACTCAACATCCAAATGGTGGTTTTAAAATGTTTTATTTTTGGTGTACAGTTGTGTCGGACATCAGTGGTATCATTGATACACCCACTGAGGTGAAAAACTTGAGCATTAAATAACATGATATGGCGATTCTTACGTGTTACGTTCATTGTCCTTGATTTTTAATGTGTTTGAAATTAAATAAGTGATCTTATTAAATACTAAGATTTCATTCCTTTTTAAAAGGAACAGAAATGCAAAATTGTCCCCTGCCCACTTGAGGCTGGCTTAGTTTTCTTCAAAAGTGCCCGTAGAGAATGAAGTGCCCCTGTGTAGTGACGGCCATGGCCGAGTTTGATTTCTGAAGGTAGTGAAACGTGAGGTTGGCTGTGGCCCTAGTCCTGTAACCAGGTAACCACCAGCCTGACTCCCTGCCACTGCCTGAGCTGTAGCCTATGGTCAGCCAGGCCCCTGGCTTGCAGGCTGGAGCTGCCGCTTGCATGTGTGAATAGTTTGGCAACTGCATGTGGATTAAATATCTTTGGCAAGGCAGTTGGCAGGAAATGGCTCTGTAGAAACAAAGGAAACAAGGATCACCTGGCCAGGTGAGGGTAGAGGATGAGGAGGTCACTTGTGGATCAGCCTGTGTTTCTCCAGCAGAATCTGATTAAAGCCAGTAACACTGTAGGGCGAAGGTTCAGGGCAGATGTCAGCGTGGCGCAGTGGAGACTTCCTGCAGTGAAACTTTATCGGGCCCTGGCGGTAGGGAGAGAGAGCGCCTGAGAGCAAGTGCTTAACCCCAGCTCTAGTGAATGCTAGAAATGCAGGGAGGTGTGGACAAGTGTGAGAGCAGTAACAGTAGTAAGATTAACATTCTTTTTTATCCTTATTCTAGAACTCCAAAGCAGTGTTAAACATGAAGTATCCCATGCATTATGAGGAAGCACCAGGAGGGTCTCTGCATTACCAGGAGTATTGCCTGGTCACCCAGCAGTTTACTCTTGCTAGCTGCAAGTTTTCTGGGGAGACAGCAGCTAGGGCCTGTCCTGATCCCTCTGGGATGGCAATTGTTTCCTTCACTTCTTCCTCACCCTGTCTCCATGTATAGGCTGAATTTAAAAAATGAGATGGCTGAGAGAGAGTGTGCCTTGGGCAAGGTCACCAGTTCTGGCGGAGCCAGAACCCAGTCCCTGGGCTTCTACCCCCAAGTTTAACATACTTGTCATCTTTTCTTAGGCACTTTGAGAGGCCTGGCTTGCAGGGATGACACAGAAAGCTGAGTATGCTGGCTGACTCTTAGCTATTACACTCTTGTAAGACAAGTGGCCAAGAGGGCTGTAATGCTTAGGGGCCGTTTTTAAAAAGTGAAGGGCTCTGGAATAGTCCCATTTGAAACAAAAAATAACCTGCTTTTCTGCTGCTGGCTGGGAAGCACAGGCTTCTGGTTTACCCAGCAAGTAGGATGCTGAGCCTTGGTCTCCTGCCATTTTCAGTGAGGTATGAGGAAGCCGGAGCTGTCCAGGAAGGGTGGCCCCTTTGTCGCGCAGCTTACCTGAGGCAGTGCTCGGATGGACGTGACCCCAGCCTGGTCTTGTGCAGTCTGGATGGTGTAACTACGGGGGCTGCCTGTGGGAAGCTGAAGGCAGGCGCAGATCACCAGCTTCCTCTGAAGGCCACGCACACCCACACACGCATTAGCCAGGACCAGTCCGAGGGGCCAGAGGCGGATTATTGCCCCTTGGAGCCTGGTCTGCTCTGGTTGCAGTGGGGAGGAGCTCAGGGGCTGGGGCGCTAGAGCAGTGTAGTTTTCTTCCACACCATCCAGTTCTTCAGCCACGAGGAAGGCCATTCTCATCTTAAAAAGAAAACATCCCTTCGTGGTTCTCGGTTTATTTCACACGAGAGAGCAAGAGAGCAATTTTCCATCTGCTGGTTCACTCTCCAGATGGCCACAACAGCCAGCACTGGGTCAGGCTGACGCCAAGAGCCAGGAGCTTCTTCCAGGTCTCCCATGTGGCTGGCAGGGACCCAAAACACTTCGGCCATCTTCTGCTGCTTTTCTCAGGCCATTAGCAGGGAGCTGGACTGGGAGTGGAGCAGTCAGAACACAAAACGGCACCCTTGAGGGATGCAGGCAGTAGCTTACCTGCTACACCGTAACAATGGCCCCTAATCTCACTCTTAATGGAAACCAAAGCTATTTCTTAGAGATCAGCCTGACAAAGTAAACTGAAACAATCTGGCTGTCAACAGCTGGGTGCCCTGAACTAGGGCCATGCAGCAACACGTCCTTGCAAGGGGCGTCATAAGTTCATGGAAAATGGAATTAAAAGCAGCTTGTTTTGGTGCAAGAAATTTGGAGATCCATGCATAATTTTTTCATAATAGGCGCTTTCCATCAATTTATGAAGACCCCTTGTATACACCTGAGACAGCTGTGTTTAGGCCTTGTTTATATTAATAGCCTTATTGAGAAATAACTGCTGTACTATAAAATCTGGCCATTAAAAAAATATTTGAGAGGCAATTTTCCACTCTCGAAATGCCTGCTATGTTTAAGCAGAAGCTGAGAGTTCAGAAATGGGTGGTAGGAACCAAATTATTTGTGTCATCACCGCTGTCTCCCAAGGTCATCATTTCCAGTAAGCTGCAGCCAGGCACTGAACCCAGGCACTAATATTTGACTTGGGTGCCTTAACCACTAGGTTAAATTTACCTAACCCAAATTTGCTCTTTTAAAACATACAATCCATGGTCTAATGTAAAACTAAACTGCCTTACAAGAGGCAGCGTTGTGGTGCAGTGGGCTAAGCTGTCACTTGCAATGCTGACATCCCAAATCAGGACACCGGTTCCAGTCTGTGCTGCTCTGCTGCCAACTGAGCTCCCTGCTAATGTGCCTGGGAGAGCAGCAAAGATCACCCAAATGGGAGACCTTTATGGATTTCCTAGCTCCTTGTTTTGGCCTGGCCCAGCCCTGGCTTCTGCAGCCATTTGGGGTGTGAACCAGCAGATAGAAGATCTCTTTTTTTCTCAGTCTCTCCTTTTTCTCTCATTCTGCCTTTCAAATAAATATATCTTTAAAAATAAAACAAAACCGCTTCATAGTGTTGCTAGTTACACCCTTTTCGTTCATGAGGAACGTGAGGCCCAGAGAGGTGAATGGTGTGTCTGAGGCACTGGTATTACAGCGCCAAACCAGCGCTCTCACCCAAGCCTGTCTGGGCCCAAACTCTGTCCCATCCTGCCCCGCCCCCCTCCCGCTTTGTCATACTTACTCTCCACCGCTGCCATGCCTGCTTAATGACTGTGGCCGCTCTGTGCAGTCTCTGGATGTGTTTCCGAGTTAACCAGGAACGAGCAGCTAAGAGGGTTCCCCAGAAGTAGGAAAGAGAGTAGGCATTAGTTAGCTGGCTCTGGAGCGGTGCCGGCACTGCTGTGAAGCATGAAATAAGTTATTTCAGTGAATGGCCACCTTGGACTGCATGGGTGGGGAACATCCAAGCCCATGCCATACAAAAGGCCCACAAAATCATGTGATCTGGCCCTGTCAAGGCAAACCGCAGGCCTGACTCAAAATTTAATACATCGATAGCGGGTTAATTTCTAAGTTGTTCATTTTGTATTATCTGTAAACAATGTTAAATGGCCCTTGGCAGAAAAATGTTTCTGAATCCCCAAGTAAGGTTCTGAATTCAACATGTAAAGCAAATTTGGTTTCTAAGGACATTTCTCACACTCCCACACACTCACAGATAGCTGGACACAGACGGGCATCTGGAGTTTTGGCTGGCCGCAGGCCACTGGGGTCTCCTCCTACCTCAAGCTCATCAGGAACAATGCCCATGGGCCTGATGGGCCGGTGCTGTGGTGTAGCAGGTAAAGCCACTGCCTGTGATGGTGGCATCCCATGTGGGCGCCAGTTTGAGTCCTGGCTGCTCCACTTCCAATCCAACTCCCTGCTAATAAGCCTGGGAAAGCAGTGGAGGGTGGATCAAGTGCTTGGGCCCCTGCTACCCATGTGGGAGACCCAGAAGAAGCTCCTGGCTTCAGTCTAGCCCTGGCTGTTGTGGCCACGTGAGGAGTGAACCAACCAATCTTAAGATTTCTCTGTCTCTCCCTCTTTCTCCTTGAAGGAGAAATTTGTCTTTCTTAAAATGCTCAGATTTCTTACTAACAAAATAACTACTGGGTGGAGGGTATCTTAAAAAGAGGTGGCACCACCTTCAACAGAGAGATCTACGTTTGAACATCGTATTGGAAGGACTTTTCCATTTGTCAGTCTGCATCGGGATGTCCCATACCTAGCCACAGCTCTACCACTCTCAGGTATTTGGGTTGTTTCTGATATGTTTATTTTTCACATAAATGGCTCATACATTTCCTAATTCAATCAATCAAATCACATCAGTTTTTACTTCCTCCCAAACCCCTGGCCCCAGCAGGCAGTGAAACAAGATGTGTCACAAAGGGGGACTGAAGGCCAGCTTTCAGCCCATTGCCTGTGGAGAGGCCTTACGTGGGTGTGCCTTGGTTGCCAGAGAGCTAGAGATCCTCTCTGGACAGGGAATTGGAATCCCAGGGGCACCATGAGCATGTGCCACCCACCGTGGGAGGCTGGGACAAGGGCCACTTCAGTAGATGGGGACTTGATAGTGCAGCTGACATCACATAGGGGTCCCTGTGCGACCGCTGACAGCAGCCCCACTCACCTGCCTGAATGAGCACGGCAGCCTGCCTTCGCCGCTCCTGCTTTCGGTGCTGGTGACGCCTCCAGCCACGCTGGATGCAGCGGGCGCACTGCTCCAGTACCTGGGCACGCCTGTGTTCCAGGAGCTCCAGCTGGGAGAAAGGGCATCTGCTGAGGTTCTCAGCCTCCTCCCTGGCCCAGGAGCAGCAGACCCTATCCTGCTGAGGGGCGTGTGCAGCTGCCATCTGTAAGCTCCCCATCCCCAGACCAGCTTACCATAGAGTCAGTCATGAACACCTTAGTCTTGCCACAGTGCACTGAAGCGGCCATGGCCTCAGGGGGCTCAGCACATGTGGTTGCTGTCAGAGTGTGGAGGATGTCCTGGAGGAGAGGCAGCAGCATGGCCGCCTCCACATGTGGGGTCCATTCTGGGGATGAGAAGTGGCCCCATCAGTGCTTTGTCATCACAAGCTACTATGGTCCTAAGAAACTGGCTTTGGGGGCCAGCACTATGGCATAGTGGGTTAAGCTGTGGCCCGTGGCACTTGCATCCCATGTGGGCACCAGTTCAAGTCCTGGCTGCTCCACTTCAATCCAGCTCCCTAATGCACTTGGGAACACAGCAGAGGATAGCCCAAGTCCTTGGGCCCCTGCACCTGTGTGGGAGACCTGGAAGAAGCTCTAGGCTTCAGCCCAGCCCTGGCTGTTGTGGCCATCTGGGAAGTGAACCAGCAAATGAACGATCTCTCTCCTCCTCTAACTCTGCCTTTCAAATAAATAAATCTATCTTTAAAAACAAAACAACCTGGCTCTGGCCTCCCCAGCATCCTGCAGGCTTCTTTACTGCTATTCTTGCCTCCAGCCAAGAGGCCCCTGTATTGTCCTTCATGGCTCTGGCTGTCCTAAGGCATGGTGGAGTGCCCCGCAGTGTCCATTGCAGAGGGTCCCTTTGGGCAGGCTGGCGGAGGGTACTGGATGCTGGAAGAGCAACTCCTTCCATCCTGGGATCTCCCACTGCCTGGCCAGCATGTTTCCCAGCCCCCACCCCCTCACTCCCCATCATGCATGGGAGAAGGAAGAACAAATCTCAGCCCAGTAAAGGCCCAGCGGGTCCCACTGCCTGCTCTCCCGCATCCTACAGTGCTGACTCCTGCAGAGGGATGTGTTACCTGAGGGCTTTGACCACTTTTAGTGCTCTGTGCCTCTTTGGCCACCAAAGAAGAGGCTGGAGATGAGGAAGAGCAGCAGAATGAACCAGGGGCCAGAGCGGCTTGGGTAAGAGACAGGAGAGCCAACCATGGAGAGGAGAGAGAAAGGAAAAAGTGAAAGGAAAGGAGAAAACCACAGCAGAGCTGTCCCAGCGGGGTCTGATGGTCCTGGAGAAGGCTGTGTGGGTGTGGGGAGCAGCTGTGGCTGGGCTGGGGTCCTGCCGAGGGGGGCCTTCCACCACCCTCAGCTTCCTCCCCGCTCTGCCTGTCAGTTACGTGCATATGCAGTCAGCAACCTCCAAATCAGGTCACCATCCATACCTTTCCCCAAAACTGAAGGTCGCCCAGGTAGGTGCCTTGCAGACGTCACCTAACAACTCCTGGAGCTCAGCTGGCCACGGTGAGGCTCATCAGCACTGGAAACCTGCCCTCCTCTTGCTTTCCCTGACCAGCAGGGCCAATTTATTTTCCTCTCCCTATCTTACTAGGCACCTACCAACACTGGCCAGTTTCTCCCAAGCAGTCCCAAACTGTGCCCATATCCCTGGCTTCTCCACTCCAGCAGCTTTCAGCGTCACTCTGGTCTCCAGAAAGCCTGAGGCTGACTCAGTCCCTCCCCGGAGTGCCTCCTCCTCTGCCCGCTCCCTGCATCATCACCCAGCCTCACCTCCCACCTCTCTCTGCCCCGAGGAGCCAGCACACAGAATGGCACAGAGTTCCTCAAGGCTGCACTGCTGTCTCCGGCCTCCGGGCCTCTGTCAGGTTACCTGTGCCAGGTGGAATGCGCTTCACCCAGCTAATCCAGTTTACCCTCAGATACTGCCTCCTCCAGGAAGCCATTCCCCAGTCACACCTCCCTACCTTTCCACAGTGTTCGCAATTTTCCCACTGAACCCAGAACCCCAAGGGCAGGGCTGTCTTGTTCATCTCTGAACAACAGCCCCAAGCTCTGAGAGTACGGTGTGGTTGAACAAATGGCTAACGTGTGAGCCCCACTCACCGGAGCGCCCCTTGGCACGATATGGACTGCAGAGACCAGAGGACTTATGAGGATGGAGCCTTCTCAGTAACTCATACCGTTCCACAAAGTTCTGGTGAGAGAGCCTGGAACCAAAGCAAGAAGAAAATGACTTCACCTGTTTGCAGGTACATGGCTCTGAGGTGAACAGCAACCAGTCAGGGGCTGCCCTACCTCCATTCCCACCAAATGGACGAGACCACCTTCTAGAGAGGTGACTAGGCTCACTTAAAGGGAAGCATGTGGAAACTTTAATTTCTTAAAGATGGGGGCCACCGCTGTGGTATAGTGGGTAAAGCCACCGCCTGCAGTTTAGCATCCCATATGGGCGCCGCTGGTTCAAGACTGAGCTGCTCCACTTATGATCTAGCTCTCTGCTATGGCCTGGGAAAGCAGAAGATGGCCCAAGTCCTTGGGCCCCTGCGCCCGTGTGGGAGACCCGGAAGAAGCTCCTGGCTTCGGATCGGCGCAGCTGCGGCTGTTGCAGCCAACTGGGGAGTGAACCAACAGATAGAAGACTTATTTCTCTGCCTCTCCTTCTCTCTCTGTGTAACTCTCAAATAAATCTTAAAAAAAAGAGATTTATTTATTTATTTACTTGAAAGGTAGAGTTAGAGAGGGAGAGGCAGAGGTTGAGGAGGGAGAGATCTTCCATCCATTGGTTCAGTCCCCAAATGGCCCCAAGGGCCTGGGCTGGACTTGGCCAGGCCGAAGCCAGGAGCTTCATATCCGAGTATCCCACTGGGCCATCTGGGCCATCCTCTGCTGCCTTCCCAGGTGTCGCTCCCCCTCTTCGTGGAGGAACGACACAGGACCCTGCGCTGTTCTTTCGTCTGCTCGGCCCTCCCCGGGTTTGCTGCTGGTTCTTCCCGGGTTGGCTACCGACCCTTCCACCTCCGTGGAAGGGCGGTTCCCCCTGCCACATTCCCCACTTCCGCAGGGGAGCGGCACACCGCCGGCCGGCTCTCTCGGGGGCTGCACAGGTGTTCCCTCAGATGTTCCTGGTGCATGTTGTCTCTCTCCTCCTTTATAGTCCTCCTCTGCCAATCCCAACTCGGCTGCCCACACGCCGAGCACGCTGCTCTCCTCCAATCAGGAGCAGGTCCTGCTGTTTATTGGCTGAACTGGAGGCAGCTGTGTAGAAGCTGTTTTCTTCTCTCCCAGCGCCATATTGTGGGAGAGCAGATGCACAGAATAAGTCTTAATTCCAGTAACTCAGTCCAGTCCGGGTTGCTCCCCACACCAGGCACATTAGCAGGGAGCTGGATTGGAAGTGGAATAGCTGGGGATTTGAACCAGTGCCCATGTAGAATGCTGGCACTGCAGGCAGTGGCTTTACCCATTATGCCACGGCACCAGCCCTGTTTCATTTTTAATTAAAAAAAAAAAAAAAAAGATATTTGAAAGGCAGAGTGACAGGGTGACCACAACTGGGGCTTCTTGCTCTTTTTTTGCATCCTGCCGTCTTCCAAAGTAGCTGACAGGCGTGAACCAAGTGGAGCACTCCTATGATGCACACATGCTTGGCACATTTCCCACTCATTTTCTGACCCCACAGCTTCCTCCATGTCCTCCTGATTTCTCTGCTCCCCATCATGGCAACAGCTGATGATAACAGATGTCTGCACTTCCCCCTCCCAATCACTCCTCAGCTCTTCCAAGACAGGTTCTGTCCCTAACTGCACTGACGTGACTCAGTGCCACAGCCATCCACAGCCACCATCAGATACCATGCAGCCAAATCCAGGGGTCAGGCTTGGCCTCCCTCATTCCGGGCCTCTGGGCAGAAGCTGACCCCGTCCCTTATAGACAGAGCATTTTCTTTAAAACAAAAACAAAATATTGAGGGTCTGGCATTGTGGCCCAGCAGGTTATGCAGCTGCCCGCAACACCAGCACCCCATATTAGAGTGTCCGTTCGAGTCCCAGCTGCTCTGGTTCTGATCCAGCTTCCTGCTAATGCACATGGGAAGACAGCGGAAGATGGTTCAAGTACTGGGCCCTTGCCACCCATGTGGATGGATGGAAGTCCAGGCTCCTGGATTCTGTATGGCCCAGTCTTAGCCCTTGTGGCCATTTGAGAAGAAAACCAGTGGATGGAAGATCTCTTTCTGCGACTCACTCTCTCTGGCACTCTTTCAAGTAAGTAAAAGAAATCTTTAAAAAAATAGATTTGAGGGGCCAACATTGTCGTGTAGTGGGTAAAGCCACCCCCTGTGGCATTGGCATCCCATATGGACACAGGTTCAAGTCCCGGCTGCTCCACTTCTGATCCAGCTCCCTGCTAATGCAACTGGGAAAGCAGTGGACAATGGCCCAAGTGCTTTAGGCCCCTGCACCCATGTGGGAGACCTGGAGGAAGCCCCTGGCTCTTGGCTTTGAATCGGCCTATTTCTGGCAATTGCAGCCATTTGGGGAGATAATCTCTGCCTCATTCTGCCTTTCAAATAAATAAATAAATAAATAAATAAATAAATGAGAAAGAGAGACAGAGATCTAACAGCCAGGCAGGACTGTTGCAGGCTGTTCCCTGGCACCGGTCCTGGCCCTGCTGTGACCCATCGCACTCACCGAATGGGGAAGCCGGCTGCACTGATGTGGATGGTCTCCACCAGGCCACAGGCCTCCAGCTGGCTCAGGACCTGCAAGGATGGCGAGGCAGGGTAGGATGCAGCAGTGTGGGACCAGCAGGCCAGAAATACCATTCCTTCTGCGCTCTCAGGCCCACACCAGCATGGAGCTGAAGGCTCTCTCTGGAGGCTGGGCAGATGGGGGGGGGTGTTTTGGGAAGCAGTGAGAAATTAAGGGACCTTGAGAAAAGCTCCTGTAGAAGGAGCCTCTGGGTCCTAAGCCCCTCTGACGCATGGCTTTTGACACGGCTGAAGCCAGCGATGATCCTGGCTCTGTCATTACTCCCAGTTTAGGCTCCACCTCACAGTGCAGCCGTCCAGCCTCCAGTTTTGAGTGTTTTTATTTTTGGCCAGCAATACTGTGGATCTGTCTGAGGAGCAGGGGAGCTCACGTTGTGAAGATTCTGACGGGACCTGAACCGAGGTCTTCACTATACTGACAAGTGGTTCTGGCTGTGAACACCAGGGCCACATCTACCTGGTGACTCTGTCTGGCACGCACACCTCCTCCATACCCCTCAGAGCTTGGTGTTCCAAGCAGAGAGCTGCTGCTAGCCACAGCGCTTTTGTGCACATTAGGAAAATCAGAAGTAGGCACTGTGTATGGACTATAAGGTGAGACTACGAGATCACCATGAAGAACACCTATTCCTCAGGGCTGCCTCAATCTCTTGTAGGGCACATGGCTTAGTGAGTAAACAAGATGCATCGGAGGCCTCCTGAGCTAGCCCCTGTGCAGGGTGCAGACCATACAACCACACGGCTCTGCCCTCCCAGATAGGAAAGATACATCAGGTCATCAGGTTCAGCCTGAGAGATCCCCCTTGGTCATCCCACTCGGAGATGTCCTGACCTTCGTGCCCCCAAGGCCTTGGCCAGAAGGGCTCAGTGCAAAGTCACTTTGGCCCACATGTGAGTTACCTCTTCCTGGAGGAAGGTCTGTGCCTGGCCCTGGCTGTTGGGCTTGATGCAGCGAATGTAGTGGGGTGTGGTGCTGTGCAGGACTTGCAGGAGCTGCTCCAGGGAGGCCTGCAGACGTAGAAGACAAGAGGTCAGCCAGGTACTGGGGATGCCCAGAGCCACAGCTAGGCCCTGGTTAGGGACTGCATCAAATGCCACTAGGATCCTCATGCGCCTTGGGCAAACTACAGGAGACACGTGCAAAGCACGCACCTCAGCTGACCTCTCCTCGCTCTTTTCCCTGCCTCCAGGGTCTTTCTGGATGTGTGACCCTCAGTGGACTGGCCTCCACGCATCTCATCTCCGCCCCCTTCCCAGAAGAGCCTCAACCCCCCGCCGCTCATTCAGGCAACAGCTGTCCCTGAGGCTGTCCTATCTAGTGTCTGAGGCTGGGCGATGGATGTGCTCATCAAACCTGGTTCCCCAGGGTGCTCCCCGCAGACGTGATGCTGAAGCTGAAGCGTGACTGACAGGAGGGTGGGAGTGGGGAAAGCGAAAGGGGCAGGAGTCAAGAGCACCCCAGGAAGGTGAGCCAGGGTAGAAAGCAGCCGATCTGGAGAGAAGGAAGACTGCTGCAGCCAAGGTTAGGGGTAAAGTGGGAAGCTAACCCAGAGACGGGAGTGGGCCAGGTCACAGAGGTTCAGGTGACACTGCTCTGTGAACACCTCGTCAAGCAGAGGGTGAGAGGGCCTAGGCTTTCCATCATTTCATTACACCCAACAGACTGTCCCCTCCTGTCTGCCTTCTACACTGAGGGATAAACCTCATGGGGACCAGGGGCCTATTTACTCACTGCTGCCCAGCTACCAGCACCAACCCTGGGAGGTGCTTGATCAACATTTATGAGATTCGTGAGTAAAACAGGACCTTGTGTCAGCACCACCAGACCCACCTTGAATTTGGACACCACAGTCAATGCAGGGGCCCTGCTCTGGCCCGAAGGCTCCTCCTGAGTCTTTTCTTCAGGGTCAGCAGGAAACAGTGCCAGCAGCAGGGGATCCTGGGACTGCTGCAGGAGTCTGGTCAGCTCAGGGGGGACAGGGTCCTAGTGAGAAGGGATAAAGGGGACAGGAAGAGCTGCTCCCAGAGACCCCATTGGCCCACCCAGCCCCAGAAGACAGCTTTCAGGGACAGCCAGTCCTGAGACAAGAGGGGAGCCAGTGCACCGCACAAGCAAGGACCTGGGCCCGCTCTAACAAGTCACTGCCAGGTTGAGCTTGATTAGCAGAGGCCTCAGGCCCAGGGGCCCACGTTGGTGACCTGCATTCTGGGAGGAGGTTCAGGATGGGGGACAGTGTGTGCAGCAGTGACAGCCCAGGCCTCACCTTGTTCTTCTCCACCAGGCCTGCTGTGTGGTACCGCACAGGCCCGGCGTAATGCACCACGATGAAGCTGGGCTCCCGGCTGAGCCTACTGTGGCCCAGGCAGGGGCTGCCCGCCAGGGCACCCTCGATGCGTGTCTGGAGCTGGGCCGCACTGCTTGGCCGATTAAGGCGGCACTCCTGTGATGGGAGTGGGTGGTCTGAGAAGGTCTCAGCACAGCCCTCCCTGCCCCCTCCCACTGAGGCATCAGAGTGACCCCGAGAGGGAGGGAATATAGGGATCAGCAAGCCAGTCAGGCAGATGGGAGAGAGAGAGGCCCAGAGAGGGCAAAGCATAGTCATCAGGACGCCAGGAAAGCTTCCTGCTGACCCGCCCACCTCATTTATGAGGGAGCAGATGCTGATGGGGCTTCCCTCGATGAGATCCAAACACATCTGGTTGTCCCGGTAGTTCACAAATGACCACTCCAGGCCCTCCATCGCGTATTCTTCCTAGGGTCAGACGTAGGGGTGGGCCGGGAGAAGGCTGCTATGGCCTGAGGCCCCGATAGGCCACCCATAGCTGGCCCCCACAGCACTGTCCGGAATGGTCTATCAGAGTGCCAGATGGTATCCCACATGTACAATTATTGGTCAATTAAAAGTAAAATCAATCAAAAGGCTCCTAGTCAGAAACTGGGCTAAGGCTGGAGGGCCAGGAGAAGGGGCAGCCCTTCTGGCCTTGTCTGTCCCTCACCTGCTGAGCCCTTAGGTAGTGGGCCACAAAGTGCTGTTGCAGCTTCTCGTTGGCGTAATTGATGCACAGCTGTTCCAGACTGTTGTCAGGGAACGACTCAAACCCGTACACATCCAGCAGGCCTGGGAGGACAGGGGAGAACCTATGGGACCGCTCAGGAGGCTGGGGGTTGGGGGGCCGCAGGAGCCAGGGCACCTCACACTTGGCAGCCTGGGGATGAGGCTGAGTGAGCGAGCTACCAGCAGCAAGCAGAGCAGACGTCCCCCATCCTGCCTCCCGTCCAGGGCGCTTCTCATCTCTACCCCTTTCCCCAGAGCTCCAAGCAGGGAGAAACGCCAGGGCCCATGTCTGAGTCTGAATTCTGACCCGACAGGCCTGTCCTGGGAGGAAACCAGGTCCCAGGGAACATTTTCTGTGTCCTCCAGCCGGGAGGCCTGGGGGTCTCCAACCTAGGCGGTGTCTACAGGTCCACCATCCCATCAGCCGAGTGCAGGGAGCCTCTCAGCTTTCCTCCCTTCCCTACCTGACCCTCACACCAGGCTCACGACCATTGCGACCTCAGTCATGTCTCCACGTCCCCGCTCATCTAGCTCTCTGACCCTCTCCCCAGCAACTCTCCTGTGACTGCAGCTGGGTCTCTGAGGAGAAAAGGAGCGCTTAAGATGAGTCTAGACAGCTGTGGACGGGTCGGATGTGGGCCCTGGAGAGCAGAGATCTTGCCCAAACACTGGTGGACAGATAGAGGAGACGGGAAAGGAGCTGCCCAGAGACACACAGTGGCCCAGAGGTCCTGTGTCTGCCTGGGCCTCTGCCCCTTTGGGAGTGATCCCAGCAGGGTGAGCGCCTGCTACCTATGAAAGTGGTCCAGGAGTCAGGGTCTGCACAGATGCTGCTGTTGATCACCGACACCAGCCAGTCGAAGAGGCTGTGGAGCAAAGAGCAGGGATGCTGGTGAGGGACGGCGGGCTGAGGTGAAGGGACGCACAACTGCTCCCTCGGCCAGCGTGCGATGCTCTGCAGGGCCCTGCGTTCTGTGCTTGGCAGGTAAAAGATGAAATCCTCTTCTCTTCCTGCCTCCCTTGTCTGAGTAATAGAGATGCAGGCTGTGGGCATGCACGTTCCCAGGTGCACACAAACCCGGCTGGCCTGTGGGCCAGGCAGGCACTAGGTCGGCATCAGGAACATGGCCCAACACTGGCTGGTGTCTCGGCTGATAGGCAGACATGGGTGTGGCTTCTAAAGAACCGAGTTCACCAAATGCCCTTGGACACTCCAGCCTGGAGCCCACAGCTCAAGGCTCTGCCACGTTCCCTGTAGCCCCAAGTCTCTCGAGGTCAACTATGGTATCCTCCACTCTGGAACCACTCCAGCCCACAAAGGGTGAGGGATGCAACACCATTCAGGGGGTTCTTCCTTACAATTTTCCTCAAAGTAATTGCAACTTTTTGGATTTTATAAAGATAATGGCTCCTCTTTTTGTAAAAGACTTAAGTGTCCATTTGAGTTACTGAAAATGACCAAGTTTTGGGGCTGGCGTTGTGGCACAGCAGGTTAAGCTGCCCCTTGCAATGCCACATTCCATATGAATGCCAGTTTAAGTCCCAGCTGCTCTACTTCCAACCCAGCTCCCTGCTAATATGCCTGGGAAGGCAGCAGATGGCCCAAGCGTCTGGGCCCCTGCCAACCATGTGTAAGACCCAGGAGTCCCAGCTCCTGGCTTTGGCCTGGCTGTTGCAGCCGAGGGGAGTGCATTAGCAGATGGAAGAACTCTTTCTCCATCTCTCTGATGCTCTGGCTTTCAAATAAATAAGTAAATCTTAAAAAGAAAATTACTTTAGTGTTACAATGACTTGATGGTTTGTGTGTGTAAAACATTCTATGGTTACAGCTTTCTCTGCCTGTGCTTTGTCACTCTACCCACTCACTTATAGGCAGACTTTAAAAACCTTTGACAGGAAGTTCATACTTTCTGCTATCACTGCAGAGCATTCTACACCACTTGAAGCCCTTGCAAGGCACCCTGCAGGTCCCAAGGTGAGAGGCAATCCCTAAACATGGCCAGAGGGTGGAATCACCGATGCAACCTACAGGAAAGGCCCGGAGCTCCACCTTCCCCACTGTGCAGGCGACTGTGTAGGGCCCGAAGTACAGGGGTGCAGGGAGACACAGGAGGAACGCACCTACGGGTCTGCACTGGGAGGGCCCCAGATCACCTCTGGGGCCTATTTTATGAGTCAAAAGCTGAGCAGGCTTTCCTCACCTATTGTCAAGGTCAAAGCAGGCTCCTGTATTTGAGTAATGATCTGAATCTCAGCCAGGGATCTGACAGCTCCTCTGTGCAACACTCAGGAACAGAGGCCAAGGGCACTGCTCGGGGAAAACCTGCACGCCGTGCCCTGCTGTCCCCAGGCCCTGAGGTATACTTCATCTGGCATCCCCCATCCTGGGCTTCTGCCTGTTGCCTGGTGGCATCTGTTCCAGTCCCAGAGGGAGGGAGAACTTGGGGGAGGACAGGGCCCCACTGCTCACCGTGAGTAGACCAGCTTGGCCAGACAGTCTCTGCGGGTGTCACACTCGGCGCGGGAGCAGGGCTTCCGGAACACCTGCTTCTGCCTGCCCGCCCTGATGGTTCTAATCCGCAGCGTCTCCAGCAGCGTGTCTTCTGGGAGCTGCAGTAGCGAGGCTGATGTCCTGAGGGCACCTGAGAGGGGTGAATCCTCCTTAGGCAACCACCCTCCAGCCCATCAGTCCTCTTGACAAGGCACTGTGAGCTCATCATGGTAGAGCCGTGACTGGTGAAGCCAGACAGAGGACATCTAGGTTCTGACAGGCAGAGACCCGCCGGAGGCCTCCATAAAGGCCAGAGGCAAAGACCGCCACCCACGGGACCAGTCACTTCATAAACCCTCCAAGTCTCATTTCTCATGTGTAAAATGCAATGAAATGGTCTGTCTCACCAAGACGGGGTGAGGAGTCAGTCACCCAGGGCAGGCCCTACCGCGAATAGTCTGATCAAGGGAAGCGGATTCAAACTTTGACTGTCTGCCTCCTACCTAATCCCAGCAGGCTGGCTGCTTTCCTGGCAAGGCCTGCCCCACCCCCCAGCCCCGTCCCTCACACTTGGCACTGTCCATCAGGTGGCAGGGCTGGGCTTCATCCTCGGAGTCAGCAAACAAGGTATTGCCAAGGTGCAGCAACCCAGCCAGGACCTGGGGGCAGAAAAGGGTGGTCAGGAGCAGGAGAGGACAGGACACGGGTGAGCCAGCAAGGGCGGCTCCCCTGCTGAACGTCCTGAGGACAACAGAAGAACAAGAGCCCCCAGCACTGCCGGGTGCAGTTCTATGGGCATCATCTCATTCAATCTTTTCAACAAGGAGGAGGCCTGTGCCACGATGACGCCCATAACAGAGACGTGACTGGAAGGGGTTAAACCCCAAGCCTGAGGAGAAAGGCAGGATTAGCGCCAGGCAATCTAGCCTCAGATGCCTCCCAGGCCCACCACCAACTGTCCCTCTGCACCACTCTCCAGGACCAGACTATGTGGGAGCAGCACCATTAGCTGTGGGCCAGGGTTACCTCTACGGCGGGCTCCCTGGGCCCATCCTCAGCACTCCTGGGCTCAGACAGCCCAGTCCAGAGGAGCTATGTTCTCAGTCCCTGTACTGGGGTGCCCCTTTGCCTGTGCACTCAGTGATCCACAAGGGGAACCCTCAGGCCCAGCAAACTGGAAACACTTAGACTTGACACTGGGTGAGCAGGACCCCTCCTGCTACCCTGTCTGGCACCTGGCAGGACACCTCCACATGCTACTGGCTTTCTGGCTATAATCTACATCAGGAGAGGACTGCTGTGTCCAGTGTGGCTATGGCAGAGGTTAAAATCACCCCTAAACCAGCACTCCCTGGGCCTGTCCCCCTTCTGGACAGGCACTAACCTAGCAGTACCCACAGGGGGTGTGACTTGCTGCGGGAGCAACCCCCATCAGGAGGTACAGGTCACTTTCCCCTGCACTACCCTCTCCCTGCACTGGCTTTGCTGTCTCTGCTGCTAACCAGTGCTATTTCCTCCCACTGCTCTGGGTTAGGAAGAGAGGTGGGGAGAGGGAGGCAGTCAGTTGTAGCTGCAAAGACCAAAGGGAAATGAGAGAGGCCCATGGGGCAGGCACTGTGGCATGGCGGGTAAAGCTGCTGCCTGCAGTGCTGGCATCCCACACACGCACTGTTTCGAGTCCCAGCTGCTCCACTTCTGGTCTAGCTCTCTGCTTTGGCCTGGGAAAGCAGAAGATGGCCTAAGTCCTTGTGCCCCTGCACCCACGTGGGAGACCCAGAAGAAGCTCTTGGCTTAACTTAGGATAGACACAGCTCCAGCCATTGCGGCCAATTGGGGAATGAACCAGCAGATGGAAGACCGCTCTCTCTCTCTCTGCCTCTCCTTCTCTGTGTAACTCTTTCAAGTAAACAAATATATCTTTAAAAAAAAAAAAAAAAAAAAAGTGGTCCAGCCCCCTGGGTCAACACCATGTCCAAGAGAGAGAGATGGACCCTGAGGAGGAAGGAACATACAGAAGAGGGGAATCTAGGGGCTAGCACTGTGGGCCGGCAGGTTAAGCTGCGACTTGTGATGCCAGGATCCCATACTGAAGAGTTGGTTTGAGTCCTGGTTGTTCCACTCCTGAGCCAGCTTCCTGCTAATGTGCCTGAGAAAGCAGTGGAAGATGGCTTTGGGTCCCTGCCAGCCATTTGGGAGACCAGAATAGAGTTCCTGGCTCTTGGCTTCAGCCTGGTCCAGGCCTGACTTGTGGCCATTTGGGGAATGAACAACTGGATGAATGATCGCTCTCCTCTGCTTCTCTTTTTATTGCTCTGCCTTTCAAATAAATAAATCTTACAACAAATGGTGGGAATCTGGAGTTAGTACGTCCGCCACAAACTGTCTGACTCCAGAGTGTCTGACATCCCGTTGCTGTCTGGCCATCGTGTGTTGCTGTCCTGTGACCTGTAACCCAGACAGCACGATGCACTGGATCGCTGTCCTCTATGCTCTCTCCACCCCGACTCAGGCTCAGTATCACAAAGAGGTGGCTGCCTCCTTGGACACTGCACTGCATGGCCCTAAGACCTGGATGCTCAGTGACAGAGGGGTCACAAGTCCAGGGAAGGCCCCTATGCAAGGAGCCGCCTGTCACCTCTGCCAGATGGAGGTGATGTAGGTGAGATTTCTTCTGACCTTAAAGATGTTGTTCTGGGTGGGGGTGTCGATGCCCAAATGCAGCATGGCTTCTCTGGTCACCTCGAAACAGTCCTCTGAAAGAGAAGCCCACACAGCCCAGAGGTCAGCAGGGGCTGCAGCGGGTGAGGGAGGTAGGCCCTGTGCAGAGCCGGTGGGTCTCACTGGCTTGGGCGACCTACCTTCCAAGGTCCTGTCTGGGTTGGGCAGCCAGGAGAAGGCAGCCCCCTCGGGGAGGTGCCAGTGCAGCCTCTCGTCCTTGCTTGCGCCTTTGCAGATCTGAGGGGAGGGGGTGGGCAGGTGACTGAGCTGGGGGTGCAAGGAGAGCTCAGGCCTGCATAGGCCTGGAGGTGGATAAGAAGAGTGAGAAATGGCAACTAGGTCCTAAGGCTGAGGTCCCCAGAGAAAGCCTCTGCAGGCACAGGGCAGAACAAACCGTTCTGAACTTCTCTAACCCAGTGCAAAAAACCCTGCTCCAGGAAAGCCTTCAGGTGAAGCAAGCGCAGCTCCGGCTCAGCCCGCGCCTGGTGGACCCCTGCCTAAGCATGCTCCCAGCCTGAGCCACCGAGCCCCAGGCTCACAGGAAGGGCGGAAGCCATCATTCTGCTAGAGACACTGGCCATTACGGGGAAGTCCTCAGTCTGATGATGGTGACGCAGCTTCTCCATTGTCCCCAACCTCGATGGCAGGCTGGGAGCAAGGTCTAGTGTGGGGCTGGATTGTGGCACAGCAGGTTAAGTGGCCACCTGTGACACTGGTATCCTGTGTGAGCGCTGGTTCTAGTCTCAGCTGCTCTGCTTCACACTCAGCTCCCTGCTTATGTGCCTGAGAAAGCAGCAGCAGATGGCCTGAGTCCTTGGACCCTTGCCACCCACATGGGAGACCTGGTGGAGTTTCAGCCTCCTGGCTTCAGACTAGCCACCCCTGGCCACTGTGGCCATAAGGGGAGTGGATCAGTGGATGGACTATCTCTCCCTCTGCCTATCAAATAAATAATTTTTAAAAAAACCATCAAAGTGCTACACAGAAAGTTGGAAATAATCAGGAGCAGCACCAAAGTCAGGTGAAAAGGCCAAGCGTGGAGCACCCTCAGGGGATGGGGTGGAGCCACAGACCCATCCCTGCCCTGTACCTGGGTGGCTGTGGGTCCTGCCTGGCACGAACCTGGTAGAAGATGTGGAAGTTCCTCTCGCTGGAAGCCTGGCAGGCCACTCGAGTTTTCTCTAGGAGGTAGGTATGGACTGCAGCTCCGGTCATCTGTTGGGCCCTGGGCACATGTGGGCCAGAACCCATTGGCTGCCAATTCGTTCCATAGGCATTTATTTGGCACTGTGTACCAGGCTGCCATTTAGCAACTCTGCACCCAGTGTGAATCCTCTGAGCCTGAGCCAGTGGGAGTCATGAGGGCTAGGGTCCCCTCAGGACATCCTGGAGGCCTCTGGGACATCCTCCGGCACCCCGCTCAGGCGGTCAGGGCCAAGTCCTCTGGACATACATCACTTTCACCCCACCCCAAGGTAGGAGCACAGATCCCAGCTTCAAGCTTAGGGGCATTACCCAAAGAGGTGGCCATTTAGCCAGAACAAGGGTAACAGCCAGGAGGAACACACAGGCAGTAACAGGAACCCTGTCCCAGGGTCCCTATGTCCACCCTAGTTACAAGACCATCGTCAGGGTTCAATGATCCCAGAGAATCCCACGTACACATTGCAAGGGGCAGGTTTCTGCCCATAGAGGAGGTTCAGGCTGAAGAGTACCCGGGCACTTTCAGCTCCCCGTTCCCCCCACCTCCCACAGGCCAGGAGGCAGCAATGACTGATTACCTGTTCAGCTGGAGCTGGATGAACTTCCCAAAGCGACTGCTGTTGTTATTCCTCAGTGTGCACGCGTTCCCTAGAGATCACACAGGTGTTTATGCTGCTCCCCAAGGGTTAGCGTTCTCGTGGCCACAGGTCTGCTGGAAGCCATGTCCTTATCCTCAAGTCAGCTAAAGGCCCCTGTGTTTGTTTCCATGTCACAAAGGACAGGACCAGGGGATGGGCACTCAGGCTTCACCAAGTGGGATGCAGCAGTCAACTTCCTGGCTGAGAATGGGAATGACTAAGCCTAGGGAGCCGGGGGCTTTCTCCTCTGAAGGAAAGGGTCAGAAACAGTAAGATGTCACTGTGGGGCAACACCAGGGCTGCTGTCCCCACACAGACACTGACAGCTTTGCACCACAGAGGTCTCCTGGTTCTCTGAACCATCGAGAAACTGAAAAGCAAGATAGCATTTACAGCACGTGCGCCACAAGGTCCCGTCCAGCACCATTCTTACGTGTGCCCAGGCTGGGAGGGAGATGACCAAATGACGTGTGTTAGAAGAGGCTGAGGGGTCTGAGGCCACGGAGCAATGGAGCACATTCATCCTCCACCCTGAGAGGGTCTCCGAGCCCTGCCTCCCCGTGGAAGGTGGCAAATCCCAGGGGACATGGGACTGAGGTACTGAGCTCACCAAAAGCTTCCATGACGGGGTTGGAGTTCAGGATCCGCTGTTCGATCCTCTCTGCAACCTTGTGGCTCTCCCAGGACGTGGGTGAGGCAGCCACCGCGGCATAGAACTTCATCAGGCAGCGGGACGTCCACGTCTGTGGCAGAAACAGCCCTGTGGGAGCTGAGGTCACCTGCCTTGCCTTTTTTTTTTTTTTAATTTCAAAGTCGAGTTACAGAGAAAGGCAGAGCAAAAAACAGATCTTTCGTCCCTTGGGTCACTCCCCCAGATGGCTGCAATGGCTGGAACTGGGCCAGGCCAGAGCCAGGAGCTTCATCCGGGTCTCCCACATGGGTGGCAGGGGCCCAAGCATTAGGGCCGTCCTCTGCTGCTTTCCTAGGCACATTAGCGGGGAGCTGGATGGGAAGTGGAGCAGCTGGGACATGAACTGGTACCTATATGGGATGCCAGTGTAACAGGCAGTGGCTTTACACAGGGCTGTAAAGGGAAGGCGGTTCAGCAGAGAGAACCTCTCTACCACACATGTTGCTGACCAAATGGGTCCTTGTGGAATCCAACTGTGGCCCTGGACAAGGCGCTTTGCTCACTGGGAAACAGGGGTACTCTTCTTTGCTTCTCCCAGCTGCAGAGGTTTCACAAGAAACAAGGGGCCGGGGGTACGGAGAGGATGCCCCCCTGACCTGAGCAGGCTACTGTGTGTCTCAGGCCTCACTGGAGGCACTGGACTGTGGAGGACTTCTATGCATTTCCTCACAAACCTCAGGGATACAGGTCTAACCATACATCCGTTTCTAAAATGCTAAAACGAAGGCGTAGAACCTAACCATGTCAATGCCATGCTTTTTACTTCATGAACTGGAGAAAAATATGGATGCCCTTTACAAGGATTTACAATTAGGTAACAAAAACAATTCAGAAGCGATCAAATCAAGAGTCTAAGCTGGCTGTCTAATGATTTGCCATCGAAACTCTTGCAAAACTGATGAGAGGCATGAGCACCAGCACTGTCACCGTGGTCAAAGAGCTTCTTCAAACGCTTTCTTGTTAAGTAGATGCTGTCATTATTTGGCCTCCTAGGAAGGCAGCCAGCAAAATGTCTTGAGCAACCTAAAAACTTGTTACCACAATCTTAGATTTTGAAAAGTCAGTCCGTCTACTTTGCTTTGAACAGACCACTTCCTCCTCTTGGTAGCCATTACTTTGATTGTACTTTGTCTACACAGGATCATACTGGTGAAGTCATGTTTCACCTCCTGGGCCAATTCTTTGAAGAAATGCTGTAGGCTCTTGATCCCACTTGCTTAAAATTTCTAGCAAAAGTTGTCTACAGCTTAACTGGGCACAATAATTCTAGCGCAGAACAAGTAGAAAGTTCAGCACACTTTAATCAGAATTATATCTAAGTCAGATTGTCTGAGATGTGCAGGGTGCTGGCTACTGTCTGCTGTTATTCAATGGTCCTCTTCAATTTAGGGAATGAACAAGATTAATTTTTTCCTTGCAAACTGATGTGGATGGTCTGCCTCTGTAGTTTTCATCTTCAACACTGTCTCATCCCTTCTTAAGATAATTTATTCATTTGCAAACTGCTCGTTTGGGGGTCGGGGGGTGGTTACTGTCCTCAAAAGCTTTTCATAAAGCACCAGTGATTTCACCATTCTTACACCTAAATTTCATAAATTAGATGTTTGCTCCTGCATCCCTCTTAGTAGAATCCTCTTGTTCTGACGGGGACTCATTTAAAACTGACATCTCATCTAATCCCTCAAGTTAGATCCTGTTCACACAGGTTATAACAAATTTACAGAGGTACAAAAAGTGCAAAATAAGGGACTGGCGATATGGCGCAGGTTAAACTGCCACCGGAAGTGCTGACATCCAGTATGGATGCCAGTTCAAGTCCCAGCTGCTCCACTTCCCTTCCAGCTCCTTGACATGCCTGGGAATGCAGTGGAGGGTGTCCCAAGACCTTGGGGCCCTGCCATCCATGTGGGAGGCTCCGAAGAAGCTCCTGGCTCCTGGCTTTGACCTGGCTCAGCCCTGGCCATTGTGGCCTTTTGGGGAGTGAACCAGCGGACGGAAGATCTCTCCTCTAACTCTGGCTTCCAAATAAACAAAAAACAAAACAAAACTGAATTTCAAGTATAGGTTTTTCATAAGGTACATTTTTCCAAGAATTTTTTAAAGACCCCTTCTATCTGGAGTTAAGGTATTTTAGAAGGTAATTCAGGTTAAATGACGTTATTTAAGGGAGGGTGGTCTTCATCTAATTGGAATGTTGCCTTGTAAGAAGTGATCTCTCCTGCTTTTTCTTCTTCCTTGCCATGCGAGGACACAGGGAGAAGGTGACAGTTTGCAAGGCACAACAAGTCTTCACCTTGACACTCTTATGCTGGAATTCCAGCCTCCAAAAATGAGAGAAAATAAACTTCTGATGCGTAAGCCACCAAGTCTGTGGTATTCTGTTATAGCAGCCAACTTGGCTAAAACACAGCTGGAAGCTCAGATCACTGATTTGAGTCCCTAACTCTTCTCTTAAAAGCAAACTTCCAGGCCAGCTCTCTGCTGTGGCCAGGGAATGCAGTGGGGGATGGCCCAAGTGCTTGGGCCCTGCACCCCATGGGAGACCAGGATAAGTACCTGGCTCCTGCCATCGGATCACTGCGGCAGCCATTGGAGGGTGAACCAACGGCAAAAGGAAGATCTTTCTCTCTGTCTCTCTCTCTCACTGTCCACTCTGCCTGTCAAAAAACAAACAAACAAACAAAAAAGATTTACTTAATTATTTGAAAGGCAAAATTACACACAGAGAGAGGCAGAGGCAGACAGAGAGAGATCTTCCATCTGCTTGTTCACTCCCCAGATGGCCACAACAGCCAGGGCTGGGCCAGGAGCTTCACCTGGTATCCCACATGGGTGCAGGAGCCCAAGTACTTGACCATCTTCCACTGCTTTCCCAGGCACATTATAGCAGGTAGCTGGATCAGAAGCAGAGCAGCTAGGACTCAGAACCAATACCCATATGGGACGTGGGCACCGTACATGGCAGCTTAACCCACTGCACCACAGCGCTGGCCTCTTCTCTTTGTTTTCAATGTGTGGATCATTCATACTGACATTTTGTTAAGTTTGTTAATGTCAAATCTGCTAATAAGCCCAAAGCAATTTTCCTCATGTTATTAATGTTACCATTTCCCTTTAAATCTTTACATTTTCTATATTTCTGGGTAAGAAATTGGAAGAATCTTTTAGAGATACTGAGCAGCTCATGAAAACTGGACATTCAAGGCTCCTAAGTTTAAAAAGCTACTTCAAGTGAGGACCCCTGGTTGACGACCTTGTCTAAAGACAGAGACTCTTATCAACTGTTTAATAACTCACTTTAGAATATGGAGAGATGGGGCCGGCGCTGTGGTGCAGCAGGTTAAGACCCTGGCCTGAAGCACCGGCATCCCATATGGGTGCTAGTTCTAGTCCCAGCTGCTCCTCGTCCGATCCAACTCTCTGCTAAGGCCTGGGAAAGCAGTGGAAGATGGCCCAGGTCCTTGGGCCCCTGGACCCGCGTGGGAGACCCAGAAGATGGAAGACCTCTCTCTGTGTCCCTACCTCTCTCTGTAACTGTCTTTCAATAAATAAAAAATAAGTCTATAAAAAAATTATAGACAACAAGAGCATTAACTGTTTGATGAACATCTTTTACCTGAATGCCAAACAGCACACCAAAGTGAAGAAAAGGAACTAGTACTCTTGTAACTAAATATCAAAACTCAAAAGTTGGAAGGATAGAAGATGAAGGGTATCCCAAAGACACAATAAATATGATGACACAGATGAGAAGAATATTAGACAATTAATCAAATTTCCTCTAATGGTTCCACAAAGAGAAAATAGAGAGGAGGAAATTGTTAGACATAACACAAATGTGCTTCCATGAACAAAATGACAAATGATTCTAGGTTAAAAAGACTCACAAGGTATCCCACCATCAGTTAAAAAGAAAAAAAAAAAGAGAGAGAGACTATATTATGACACAGCACTGTGATTCTTAATACTTAAAAGCTTCTGGAAAGAAAAAACATTATGAACAGGGACTCTCTACAGTAATATACAAGGAAAAAAAACTTATATTCCCAATAAAAATTATAAAACCCAGCCAAAATAAGGCAGGATAGAATGTTGTACATTTCAGATGCACAACAATTCAAAAATTTTCCCTCTACATACTCTATTCAAGAAAATACTAAAGATCACACTCCATAAAATAAGGCAAGGAAACAATGAGGAAACCAGGCACCCCAGCAGTGGGATTATCCTAGGACAGATGTGAATCTGGGACCCTGAGTGAGGTCAGGAGGCCTCCACGCGTCAGCTGTGCGGCAGCAGCCCTCAGCCGCACAGTCCGGAGGTCAGCAAGAGATCTGAGAGCCCTGGGAAGGGCATCTCCAAGAAAAGAAGGTCGCGGTCTGCTTGCCAGTATGATAGGTGTTTTCCAGTTTGGGCAACATGTCTGGCAATGAAGTAACTGCAGGATTATAAAAACTAAACGAGTGGCAGGACCGGCATGTGGCACAGCAGGTAAAGCTGCCGCCTGAGATGTCCGCAGCCCATCTGGTGCCAGTCCCGGCTGCTCCACTTCCAATCCAGCTCTCTGCTGTGGCCTGGGAAAGCAGAGGAAGATGGCCCAAGTCCTTGGGCCCCTGCACCCGTGTGGGAGACCTGGAAGGAGCTCCTGGCTCCTGGCTTTGGATCAGCACAGCGCTGGCCGTTGTGGCCAATTGGGGAGTGAATCAGTGGATAGAAGACCTCTCTCTCTCTACCTCTCCTCTCTCTGTGTAACTCTGCCTTTCAAATAAATAAATAAATCTTTTAAAAAAATGGATAGAAACACCCAAATAAACCAACAGAAGATGTGAAAGTAACTGCCTTAGAAGAGAAGGACTAGAGTTGAGAGATAAAGGGTCAGTTTATTGTGTTTCTAAGCTTTCCAGTATTTTTTTTTTCCTTAAAACATTTATTTAATTGAAACACAGATTCAGAGAGAAACAAAGAGCAAGAGAAATGTCTTCCAACTGCTAGACCACTTCCCAAATGGCTGCAGTTGCCAGAGCTGGGCCAGGTAGAAGGCCAAGAGCCAGGAGCTTGTTCCAAGCCTCCCACTCGAGTGAAGGGGCCCAAGAACTTGGGTCATCCTCTGCTGGTTTTCAGGTACATTAGCAGGGAGCTGGATCAAAAGTGGAGCATCCAGACTGGAACCAGTGCACATATGGGATGCCAGCATCGCAGGTGGCAGCACAACCTACTACACCCCAGCATCAGTACCACCTGATGTTTTAAAATACAAAATAACATGATGGGGCCTGCGCTATGGTATAATAGGTTAAGTCTCTGCCTGCAGCTCTGGCATCCCATATGGGTGCCGGTTTGTGTCCCAGCTGATCCTCTTCAAATTCAGCTCTCTGCTGTGGCCTGGGAGGGCAGCAAAGGATGGTCTAAGTGCTTGGGCCCCTAAGCCAGTGTAGACCTGGAAGAAGCTCTTTGATCCTGGCTTCAGATCCGCCCAGCTCCAGCCACTGCGGCCATCTGGGGAGTGAACTAGTGGATGGAAGAGCTCTCTTTCTCTGCCTCTCAAATAAATGAATAAGGGGCCAGTACTATGGTGTAGTTGGTAAAGTTGCTGTCTGCAGTGCTGGCATCCAATTTGGACACCGGTTTGAGTCCTGGCTGCTCTACTTCCTCTCTGCTATGGCCTGGGAAAGCAGAAGATGGTCCAAGTTCTTGGGCCCCTGCACCCACGTGGGAGACTTGGAAGAAGCTCCAGGCTCCTGGCTTCGGATTGGCCCAGCTCTGGCTGTTGTGGCCATTTGGGAAGTGAACCAACAGATGGAAGACCTCTCTGTCTCTCTCTGCCTCTAACTCTGCCCTTTAAATAAATAATCTTTAAAAAGAAATAAAGGCCGGCGCCGTGGCTCAACAGGCTAATCCTCCGCCTTGCGGCGCCGGCACACTGGGTTCTAGTCCCAGTCGGGGCGCCGGATTCTGTCCCAGTTGCCCCTCTTCCAGGCCAGCTCTCTGCTGTGGCCCAGGAGTGCAGTGGAGGATGGCCCAAGTGCTTGGGCCCTGCACCCCATGGGAGACTAGGAGAAGCACCTGGCTCCTGCCGTCGGATCAGCGCAATGCCCCGGCCACGGCGGCCATTGGAGGGTGAACCAACGGCAAAGAAAGACCTTTCTCTCTGTCTCTCTCTCACTGTCCACCCTGTCCAAAAAAAAAAAAAAAAAAAAAAAGAAATAAAAATCTTTTTTTTTAAATAACATTACTATTAAAACTTAAGTTGTTTTTTTTTTTTTTTTTTTTTTTTTTGACAGGCAGAGTTAGTGAGAGAGACAGAAAGGTCTTCCTTCTGTTGGCTCACCCCCCAAATGGCTGCTATGGCCAGTGCGCTGCGCTGATCCAAAGCCAGGAGCCAGGTGCTTCCTCCTGGTCTCCCATGCAGGTGCAGGGCCCAAGGACCTGGGCCATCCTCCACTGCCTTCACGGGCCACAGCAGACAGCTGGACTGGAAGAGGAGCAACCGGGACAGAATCCGGCACCCCAACCGGGACTAGAACCCGGGGTGCCGGCGCCACAGGCAGAGGATTAGTCAAGCAAGCCACGGCACCTGCCAAAACTAATTAAATTTTAAAAGTATACTGGGCCCAGAGGCTGGCACTGTGGCACAGTCGGTAAAGCTGCTGCCTGGAATACCAGCATCCCACATGGGCAACAGTTTGCGTCCTGGCTGTTTTATTTCTGACCTAGGTTCCTGCTAGCCTGGAAAAAGCAGATGGCCCAAGCACTTTGTTGGGCCCCTGCTACGAATGTGGGAGACCTGGAAGAAGACACTAGCTTCAGTCTGAACCAGCCGTGGCTGTGGCAGCCATCTGGGGACTGAACCAGCAGATGGAAGGTCTCTCTCTCTCTCTCTAACACTGACTTACAAATAAATCAATGAATCTTAATACACACACACACACACACACACACACCAGGCTCAGTCCATGACCATAAGGGCTGCTCAGGAAGGCACTACCAAGCTCTGGTTGCACGGGTCCTGAGTGAGGTTCAGCCTCAGTTCCCTATACAATTCTGGAGGACCATGAGCTTCATCTAGGAGCTGGATGTCGGCCATCTTTAATTAGCACCCAGACATCCCCCACTCACCGAAGCTCAAGCTTATTCCTCCAACTGTCTTCTTTTTTTTATTTTTATTTATTTTTTTGACAGGCAGAGTAGACAGTGAGAGAGAGAGAGAGAGACAGAGAGAGAGAGAGACAGAGAGAAAGGTCTTCCTTTTGCTGTTGGCTCATCCCCCAATGGCCACTGCGGCTGGCGCACTGCACTGATCCGTAGCCAGGAGCCAGGTGTTTCTCCTGGTCTCCCTTGCGGGTGCAGGGCCCAAGCACTTGGGCCATCTTCCACTGCCTTCCCGTGCCACAGCAGAGAACTGGACTGGAAGAGGAGCAACCGGGACAGAATCTGGCACCCTGACCAGGGCTAGAACCTGGTGTGCCAGCGCCGTAGGCGGAAGATTAGCCTATTGGGCCACGGCGCCGGCCCAACTTTCTGTCTTCTTATCTGCCTCCCAGGGGACTCAGAGTCCCAGAGCATTGGATGTTGCGTTTTTCTATCTGCTCCTCTCTCTGCTACCCCTCAGTGCCCAGAGCCTAGAATGTGGCAGGGGTGCAGGGTTCAGCAGTTCTCTCGCATGCTGAGTTTATGGTCCAGAGAAGCCCTACTAAAGGTGAAAGTGCTGTGGAAAGGCTAGGTCTGGGGAGGGAGCCTCCTTTGACCACTTCTGCAACTCCTCACTCAACCTGTGCATTCTGTCTTACTAGCTGTAGTCTTGCCATCTAGGAGGCTGTACTGCCACACCAGGAGCGTCTGTCCTCCACCACAGCATGCCCAATGCACTGGCCTTGCCACCATGGGCAACCCAAAGGGTTCAGATGGGCTACTCCAACAAACCTTTTCCCACAGTAACACTGCCCTGTGCCAAGCATGCTACCAAGTGCTTTATGTACAGTCACTCACTGTACCCTTATGGAAATCCTGTAAGCCAGGTGTTGGTCTTCCTTCCCCTAACTTCACAAGTGAGAGAACTGAGCTTTGCAAAAGCTAAGTACCAGGGCCAGTGCTGTGGCATAGCAAGTAAAGTAGTGCCAGCATCCCGTATGGGTGCCGGTTCAACTCCCGGCTGCTCTTCTTCTGGTCCAGCTCTCTGCTATGGCCTGGTAAAGCAGTAGAATATGGCCCAAGTCCTTGGACCCCTGCACCTGCGTGGGAGACCTGGAAGAAGCTCAAGGCTCTTGGCTTCAGATAGGTGCAGCTCTGGCTGTTGCGGCCAACTAGGAAGTGAACTGGCAGGTGTAAGACCTCTCTCTCTCTGCCTCTCCTTCTCTCTTTGTGTAACTCTGACTTTCAAATAGATAAATAAATCTTAAAAAAAAAAAAAAAAAAAAGCTAAGTACCTCTCAGCCCTGTTCTTAGTGACTATGCTGCAACTCCAACAGTTGACTTTTCTGTCGTGGCGTCAGCTGGGATAGACCTTTGAAAAGCAAATAAATGAAGGCCCAGAGAAGACAGTATCTCTCATACAGGTGGTAACAGAGACAGCGGTAGAGCCTGGACCAGAACCCTGCCTCTTGACTTCCAGCCTATCATTGCCCATCATTGCATCTGGATTCCTGTCTCAGCCAGTGATCTGGGAATGACTAGGAAGGAAATGACTCCACAAGGAATGAGCTCTCTGCCTTCCCAGCCAGTTCTTAGTTGACATGGATAGAAAAAGGCCCTCCTACCTTTCCAGCACCACTCTCTCCACTGACAATAATTGACTGGTTGATGGGTTCGGACAGGCTCTTGACATTCCTGTAGGTCTGTTCACCCACAGTGAAGATGTGAGGCTTCAGTTTCTGAAACATCAAGGGGTGAAAGGTCATGTGAGGAAATGCCTGCTTTCAAGGAGTTGTTGGAACAATGATGGCTGAGATGGGAGACTATCAAAAGCAGTGCCAGAAGCTTCCTCCAGAAAAATTTTCTGGATACAATAATTGCTAAATAAAAATTGTAGGAGGCCACGGATTTGGACAGGGCACCTGCATTGGGCCCAACAGCCCTAACCAATAGAGTTTAGTTACAGTAACTGAGCTTCGGTTGGTTGCAGAAGGATCTATAGCCATTAACAAAGCATAAACAACTATCGAGTTAAGCTCTAACCAACTGATTGGTTGGCAGACTGGGCTGTAGCTAGTTAAGTTGTCTATAGCACACTCTTGTTATTCTAGAAATGGTGTCTGAAGCACCTCATTGGTGGAAATTCTCAGAACTTCTCTGGTCTTAAGCAATACCAGAATTGGGAGGGTCCTGATTCACAATATTTTCTGTTGTTTTTGTTTTCCCTCACATCAGCTGCACTAAACTTAATGGTCCAAGGAATTTCCCATGTAAGATGCTGTTATGTCCAACTGTGGAACTCCTTGGGTGGTTTTCCTACTCTTCTTCTCTCAGTCTGGAAGCAGGGCTGGCTTCTGACTAGTCTACCATGACATTAACTCTTCCTGCGCCCACATTCTCTCACTTTAGTAGTCTCATTCTGCTGTTAGTTTGTTATGCTATTTTGAAGTTTGTGAAAACCTTTCTTAGAAATTACTAAGATGTCTGTCTGCTGTACAGCTAACAGTATTTTATATATGAGGGACCTGAGGTTCAAAGGAGTTAAATAACTTTCCAAGGCCACTCAGTAAGTAAATAATTCCATGGGATTTCAATACTAAATCCACTGCCCTCACCTTCCACCAATAGTACCTGTCCTCCGCATGCTGGACAACATGTTGGGGAAGCAGCAGTGACCATGACCTGGCATCTGCAGAGCAGACCATCCGGGAGATACAGGCCCTCAAGACAGACCTGCCTGGATTGCACTTGGATTCTGACTTCCCCCTGCAGGAACTCCTGAGGGCCAGGCCAGCGGCACCTTGCCTAGTCAGCTGTGATCCCGTCCCTGAACCCTCCTGAGGAACAGGTTCCCTCTAACTGCCCTTGCCCCAGTCACTATCACCTGGGCCGTTACAAAGCCTCCCACTGCTCTGCCTCCTGCCTCACCTTTCTGAACCCAACCCCAGAGGGCTCTCTGTTCAGTCCCACTGCCACCTGCGTGAAGCAGCCTGATGGCCTTGTCAGCTGTACTGGTGCTTCAGAGCCTTCACAAATGGCCCAGTGGTCACACCCACCGCCCTCATCTTCTGCCTCTTGCCAACATCACCCCTACCGGGGTCATACACTTTAACACTGACAGCCTCATGCTCTGGCTGCACCACCAACCCCACTCCCTTTCCTAAAGAATTTTGCTTTTCAGTAGAGAGGAACGTGTGCTAAATTTGTAGGCAGTCAGTTTGTTAAATACAAATATACCTTTGTAAATCCTTTTCTATTAATAAACCTATCAAGAAGAAAAATAAATCCTTTCCCTTATGTCCCTATTTTAGGTTTCAAACTCAGTTAAATCAATATTTAGCCCTCATTTTACAACTTCTGCCCTGTCGTCAGTTCTTTGTGTGCCCCAAATTCCAAGCCGACGGAATGACTTCATGGCTGGGGAGCAGATGGGAAGGATGGGAGGTTGCAGGAGCTGGGGGAGGCTGGGGGAGGCTGGGGAGCAGTGAGGCTGAGCCTTACCTGGGGCTGCGGGGCAGTGTGGTACTCTCGCATCAGCTCTGGCGTGTAGAGCTCAGGCACAGGCTTGAAGGGGTTCAGAGCCACCAGGGTGCAGCCGGCATTGGTGTAGAACGTGTCTGCCATGTACCGGGCCTGCAGGCACCTCAGGACTGAGGCAGAGACACTGTTAGAAAGCTTTGGCTCAAACACAGACAAAACCACAGACATGCATCTGCCTAACAGCCCTCCCTCTGCAATTAACCAAGTGCCAGCAGATCCTAGCAGCTCCCTGATGAATAGATACAAGATCTAATTAAGATGTGCCCCAAATGTCAAGCAAAGCTTGCCCTGGGGAGCCCAGGTGCAGCTGCCAGGCTCCCAGGGGTAGCGGTCTGGAGCAGGCCACCTGGCTCCAGGTCAAGATCTTGCCTGCCTCAGTCTAAGCTGGGGAAGCTGTACTCAACACCCGCATCGCAACGCCACCCTCCTGAAGATGGCGCTCTGGAGTGGAGGGAGGCCCATACCTGTCTCCAGTGTCACAGGATTCACCTTAGTGAGGTCATCCAGCTGGTGCAGCGGGGCCTCCCCAACCAGGAACTCCCGCAGGTCTTCGCTAAGTGATTCTCCACCTCGGGCACCAAATCCTGGACTACGGCCATTAACCTGGAAGGGAATAACATGAGAGCTCAGACCAGTGAGCAGTTACCCAAGGGTGGGACCCTCTACAGTAGAGAGAGAGAGCAGGTTTCTACAGTCCCAGTCTGGCTGAGGGTTCAAATCTCAGTTCCACAACTGCTTAGCCCTGTGAGCCTATTTACTTTCTATGAGCCACAGCTTTTTGATTTGCAAATAAAGGAAAATAAACTCAGCTCACATGGCTATTGGGAAGAAAGTAGGGCTACACAGAGCATTTAATCAGTGTCTCACACACGGTATGAACTCAGTAAGTGCTATCCCATCTCCTCTGTGAACTGCTCCAGCCATGTCTTCCAGTTACTGGGCCTGGCAGGAGTAGGACCACAGGGAGTGTTGCTATGAAAGTACTGCAAGGAAAAGAACCAAGAGCTGGGCCCCTTTCCAAAGAGACCACTCAGCTAGCGATGAAAAACAGCCTTATCTTTCCAGAGAGGTAGCACCATGCCTCCATCAGCTGCCTCTCAGGGCTTAACTTCAGCCTGGCGAATGAACTTGAGAGGAAGCCTAGCTCAGAAGCCTACAAGTGGGCAAGTACTAGCACCAAGGGGAATAAGTCCCTTATCTCCCTTGCCTATTTTTAATGTTTATTCATGTTTAAAAAAATTTTTTTTAAAGATTTAGCACTTGTCTACGTCCACACCACTCTGAACGCACCCAGTCTCGTCTGACCTCGGAAAGATTTAGCACTTATTTGAAAGAGAGAGTTAAGGAGAGAGAAGCAAAGACAGAGAGAATCTTCCAATCACTGCTTCACTCCCAAAATGGCTGCAATGGCCAGGACTGGGCCAGGCCACAGCCAGGAGCCAGGAACTCCATCTGGGTTTCCCATGGAGTGGCAGCGGCCCAAGCACTCAGGCCATCTTCTGCTGTTCTCCCAGGCGCATTAGCAGGGAGCTGGATTGGCATTGGAGCACTCAGGACTCATATCAACACCCAAACAAGATGCCAGCATCACAGGCAACGGCTTAGCCCACAGGACCACAACACTGGCTCCCCGTTTGTTCATTTTCAATTGAAAAGCAGAGAGAGAGAGAGAGTGTGTGTGTGTGTGTGTGTGTGTGTGTGAGTTCAATCTTCCATCTGTTGATTCATTCCCCAAAAGTTTGCAGGAGCCCAGGCTGGGCCAGACCAAAGTCAAAAGCCAGGAACTTTATCCAGGTCTCTCATATAGATGGTATGGACTCAATTACTTGAGCCATCACTAGCAGGAAGTTGGATAGGAAGTGGTGGCAGGATTTGATGCCAGGTACTCCGATATGGTATGTGAGTGTCCCAAGCAGCAGCTTAACCAGCTATGCCATAATACCTGCCTCTCACTATTTCGATGCCAACACTTTCCATGTTGCGTTTCTTTACTTTTCTGCAACAGTCCCATTTCTTCTCTGACTTCCCCTGGGGATGGGGAGTGGAAGAGAGGCATCTAGCTGAAATCCACTTTGAAGGAAGAGTATCCAATGAGACTGGTGAGCCTAAATATTCAAACACCTCCGGGAAAACAAGCCAAGTGGCAAATGCCATCTGAGAGGCCCAGCAGCAAGCTTCTTCTGAAGATGTTGTCAGTTCTCTGAACTTCGGGCCCACCACATACACTAGACTGGCTCTTGTCTTCCCAGATAAGTGCTAAGATTCTAACAAGGCTGGCTCCATGTAAATCCCTCTCTTCCAGTGAAAAAACACAGTGAAAAGATACTGCCCCACACAGTATCAATTTATCATTACACAGCCAAAATTTATCATCAACTCTAATCCAATCCGAACCAGCCGAGTACAGCGATCAAGAGCCTGGCCTTAAAAGCTGGATGGCCTGGGTTTGACTCCTGGTTCCACCACTTACTACCCGTAGAATCTTACCAATAGTAGATTACTTATACTACATCCATACAATGGAATAAAACAAGTTACCAAAAAGCATGCCTTTGAGGCTGGCATTGTGGCATGCTAGGTTAAACTGCTGCCTGCAATGCTGGCATGCCCCATGGGCACCGATTCAAGTCCCAGTTACTCCACTTCCAGTTCAGCTCCCTCCTAATGCACCTGGGAAAGCAGAAGATGACCAAAGTGCTTCAGCCCCTGCACTCACGTGCGACACCCAGATGAAGTTCCAGGCTCTTGGTGTCTGCAGCCATTTGGGGAATGAATCAGCAGAGGGTGGGCTTCTAACTCTGATTTTCAATAAATAAAATTTTCAAAAAAGTATGCCTTTAAGTGTTTTAAAATACACATCGGGGCAGGTATTTGGCCTTGTGGTTAAGATGCCGGTGCCCCAGTCAGAGTGCCTGGATTTAATTCTTGGCTCTCAGTACTGGTTCCCACCAGTACAAACCCTAGGAGGCAGCAAGTGATGGCTGAAATATTTGGGTCCCTGCCACCTATAAGGTAGACCTGCCAGCTCCAGGCTTGGGCCAGGTCCTCTCCTGGCCATTGCAGGCATCTGGGGAGTCAATCAGTAGATAGGAGTTCTGTCTCTCAAATGAAAATAAATATGGGGCAGGCATTTGGTGCAGTGGTTGAAATGCTGCCCTGGCCGGCACCGCGGCTCAATAGGCTAATCCTCCACCTTGCGGCGCCGGCACACCGGGTTCTAGTCCCAGTCGGGGCGCCGGATTCTGTCCCAGTTGCCCCTCTTCCAGGCCAGCTCTCTGCTGTGGCCCGGGGGTGCAGTGGAGGATGGCCCAAGTGCTTGTGCCCTGAACTCACATGGGAGACCAGGAGAAGCACCTGGCTCCTGGCTTCGGATCAGCGCAATGCACCGGCCGCAGTGAGCTGGCTGCAGTGGCCATTGGAGGGTGAACCAATGGCAAAAGGAAGACCTTTCTGTCTCTCTCTCACTGTCCACTCTGCCTGTCAAAAAATTAAAAAAAAAAATTAAAAAAAAAAAGAAAAGAAATGCTACCGTAATGGAGGGCTGGGTTTGAGTCCTGACTATGCTTCAGATTACAGCTTCATGCCAATGTGTACTGTGGGAGGCAGCAGATGATGGCTCTAGTCCTTGGGTTCCTGCCACTCATGTAGGAGATTGGGATGGAGTTCCAGGTTCCTGGCTTTGGCCTGGTCTAGCCCTGGCTGTTGCAGGCATCTGATAAGTGATCCAGATGTAAGATCTCTCTCTGTATTTATGCCTTTCAAACAAAAATTTTAAAAATTATTTGAGATGGGCCAGCGCTGTGGTGTAATGGGTAAAGCCTCTGCCTGCGGTGCTGGCATCCCATATAGATGCTGGTTCAAGTCCTGACTGCTCCACTTTTTTTTTTTTTTTTTTTTTTTGCCAGGAGATGGAGAGAGAGAGACAGAGAGAAAGGTCTTCCTTTTTGCCGTTGGTTCACCCTCCAATGGCCACCACGGCTGGTGCGCTGCGGCCGGCGCACCGCGCTGATCCGATGGCAGGAGCCAGGTACTTATCCTGGTCTCCCATGGGGTGCAGGGCCCAAGGAGTTGGGCCATCCTCCACTGCCCTCCCAGGCCACAGCAGAGAGCTTGCCTGGAAGAGGGGCAACCGGGACAGAATCTGGCACCCCGACCGGGACTAGAACCCGGTGTGCTAGCGCCGCAAGGTGGAGGATTAGCCTAGTGAGCCGCGGCGCCGGCCGGACTGCTCCACTTCTGATCCAGCTCTCTGCTATGGCCTGGAAGAGCAAAAGATGGTCCAGGACCTTGGGCCCCTGCACCCGTGTGGAAGACACAGAAGAAGCTCTTGGCCTGGGATCGGCCCGGCTCTGGTTGTTACAGCCATTTGGGGAGTAAACCAGCAGGTGGAAGACTTTTCTCTCTCTCTGCCTCTCTGTACTTTGTCTTTCAAATCAATAAATAAATCTTTAAAAAAAATTTGAGAGGCAAACATAGAGTGGGTGAGCCCCTACCCACTAGTTCATTTCCTAAACTCCTACAACAGCCTCTCACTGAGGTGGAAGCCAGGAGCTAGGAACTAAACACAGGTCTCCCACATGGGTGACAGGAACCCATTTAATTGAGTCATCACTGCTCCTCCCAGAGCCTGCCATCAGCAGGAAGCTGCAATCAGGAAACACAGTTGAGGATCAAACCCAGGCACTTGGGTATGGGATGTGGCCATCTTAAGCCCTAGTCAAATGCCTGCTGTGACTGTAGATAATCTTAATGTTCTGTTTATCTGTATCTTCCAAATTTCTTTAAGATTTATTTATTTACTTATTTGAAAGGCAGAGTTACAGAGAGGATGACAGAGGGAAGGAGGGAGCGAGGGAGGGAGGCAGGAAGGGAGGGACAGACAATCAGATAGACAGGGAAGAGAGATCTTCCTTCTGTTGCTTCACTCCCCAGATGGTGGTAACAGCCAGGGCTAAGCCTGGCTGAAGTCTGGAGCCAGGAACTTCTGGGTCTCCCACATGGGTAGCAGGGTCCCAAACACTTGGGTCATCCTTGGCAGCCTTCCCAGAAACATTGGCAGGGAGCTGGATCAGAAGTAGAGCAGCTAGGATGTGAACTGGCACCCACATGGGATGTTGGTGTCACAGGTGGCGACTCCATCTGCTATGCTACAACACCAGCCCCAGAATTTAATAATGAATGTGCCCTTGAGTAAACCACTTAACTTCTCTGAGCCTGATCTCCAAAACGGGGATATAATAGCTTTGTACATATAATACTGTAACTTTCTCATGGAGATGTTATGAAGATGAAACAAAATTACATGTAAAAAATGCTTAGCATATGGCCTACTGTATAATAAGGGCCACACAGAGCAACTACTAGTGTGCTTATGGTAATAATCACTACTTTAATAAAAAATAAATAAAACACGTTATAAAGACCAGACAGATGACTGTACAGGCTGTTTTTTTCTAGGCTTCAACCAGTTGCATGAACCAAGTGGCTAGAGGTCCAGTGGCAGTGTATATACCATGGCTCCCTTGAGGCCGGCCAGCCCCACACCTGGCTATCCTGCCGATTCTCAGGCACTTGTCTACCCAGGACTCCACTAGACTGTCAGTTCCTTAGAAGCAGACACCATCTTTAAACATCTGCCTCAGCCCAGTGTCTGCCAACACTGAGAAGGCAAAGACTCAGCAAATAAGGGTGGGTGTTCTGCTCACTGGGTTAAGCCACAATTTGGAACACCTAAATCCCATAAGAGACTGCTGGTTCGAGTTCTAACTGCTCCACTTCTGCTTCAGCTCCCTGCTAATATGCCTGGGAATTCAGCAGATACCCCAAGTACTTGGGCCCCTGCCATCCACATGGGAAACCCAGATGGAGTTCCTGGTTTCTGGCTTCAGCCTGGCCCAGCCCTGGCTGTTAAAGCCATTTGGGGAGTGAATCAGAGGATGGAAAATATCTCTAACTCTGCCTTTCAAATATATAAGTAACTCTTCAATTTTCTTAATTTTTAAAGATTTATTTGAAAGGCAGAGTTACAGAGAGAGATAAAGACAGAGAAGAGTCTTCCATCCACTGGTTCAGTTCCTAAATGGCTGCAACCAGGAGTCAGGAGCTTCTTCTAAGTATCCCATGTGGGTGCAGGGGGCCAACACTTGGGTTATCCTCTGCTGTTTTCCCAGGCCTATTAGCAGGGATTTGGATGGGAAATGGAGCAGCCGGGACTCAAACGGGCACCCATATGGGATACTGGCATCGCAGGTTGCAGCTTAACCCACTAGGTCACAACATCGGCCCCTATAAGTAACTTTTTTTTTTAAAAAAAATTTATTTAGGGGCCAGCACTGTGGCGCAGTGGGTTAATGCCCTGGCCTGAAGCGCTGACATCCCGTATGAGTGATGGTTCGAGACCCCGCTCTGCTCCACTTCCAATCTAGCTCTCTGCTATGGTCTGGGAAAGCAGTAGAAGATGGCCCAAGTCCTTGGGCCCTTGCACCTGCGTGGGACACCTGGAAGAAGCTCCTGGCTCCTGGCTTCGGATCAGCGCAGCTCTGGCCGTTGCAGTCAATTGGGGAGTGAACCATTGGATGAAAGCTCTCTCTCTCTCTCTCTGCCTCTCTGTAACTCTGCCTTTCAAATAAGTAAATCTTTTTAAAAAGATTTTTAAATTAAAAAAAAATTTTTAAAAGATTTATTTCTTTGAAAGGCAGAGGGAGAAGTAGAAATAGAGGTCTTCCATCTGCTGGTTCACTCCCCAGATGACCGCATCTGAAGCCAGGAGCGTCTTCTGGGTCTCCCACGCAGGTGTAGGGGCCCAAGGATTTGGAGCACCTTCTACTGCTTTCCCAGGCCATAGCAGAGAGCTGAATTGGAAGTGGAGCAGCCAGGACTTGAACCAGTGCCCATAAGGCATGCCAGCACTGCAGGCAGTGGCTTTACCTGCTACACCAGGGTGCTAGCCCCATAAATAATCTTTAAAAAGAAATCCAGTGGGGCTGGCACCGTGGCATAGTAGGATCCCATGTTTGTGCAGGTTTGGGACCCAGCTGCTCTGCTTCTAATCCAGCTCCCTGCTAATAGCCTGGGAAAGCAGTAGGAGGAGGCCAAGTCTTGGGCCCCTGCACCTACGTGACACCTGGAAGAAGTTCCTGGCTTCAGATCAGACCACCTCTGGCCATTGCATCCATTTGGGGAGTGAACCAGCATATGGAAGATCTCTCTCTCTCTCTCTGCCTATCTATAATTTTGTCTTTCAAATCAATTAATCAATTAGTCAAAAAAGAAAGAAATCCAGCAAAAATGTGCTGGCATTTTCTGTGGAGAAGGAGCTGCACTTGCAGGTTGCGAAGGTAGCAAGGAGGAGCTGGAACTCCGCAGCGAAGGCGACTGGGAACCCTACAGGTCCGGGGCTACAGCAGCCACTTTAGAGGGAAAGGCCTGGAGTAAGGGAACATGATCCATTCACCGACCTCTGGACTTCCACACAGGTCATCTTCTCTGGCACTTTTGTACAGACTGATCTGTTTGCCTGGGCTATTTATTCCTTTTTACTCTTCTTTAATATTTATTTGACAGGTAGAGTTATAGACAGTGAGAGAGAGACAGAGAGAAAGGCCTTCCTTCCGCTGGTTCACCCCCCAAATGGCTGCCACAGCTGGTGCTGCGCCGATCCGAAGCCAGCAGCCAGGTGCTTCCGCGGGTGCAGGGCCCAAGCACTTGGGCCATCCTCCACTGCCTTCCCCGGCCACAGCAGAGAGCTGGACTGGAAGAGGAGCAACTGGGACTAGAACCCAACGCCCATATGGGATGCTGGCGCCGCAGGCAGAGGATTAGCCAAGTGAGCCATGTGGCTCCTCCTTTTTACTCTTTTAAGACTCAGCTTTATGAGACACTTCTTTTGGAATCCTGAGGTTTCCACTGTGCCTCAACAATTCCAGTTGGCAGGGACATGCGTTGGGACTCCTCTCTGGAAAGTGTCCTATGGATATCCTTACCCAATCCAAGGGAAAAGTGCTAAAAACCACAAGAGGGATTCAAATTAGATATCAGGAAAAGCTTCTTGCTGATGGATGAAAGGTACTGGAGTGACTATCTGGAGACAGAAAAGAACAGAGACCTTCCAGGTAAGGGCAATGGGACCTTTGTTCATGGGAAGCAAGCTCAGGTGTGTGAGGGCCTGGGTTCTGTGTGGCTGAGGCTTTACCTGCTGGAGCATTGTGCTTCAGTGTGGTCAGCCAGGGTTCTGGGGTGCAGGCACAAGAACTGCTGTCCACCTGGTCACGGGACTGGGGGCTGCAGCATGGCTCCAGTCCAGGGCTCAGGTCTGGAGAAATCTGAGAGGAGTCATCCCAGAGCCTACGGCATGGGAGAGAAGACAAGGGCCACACAGAGCTGAGGACTTCTGGATGACTCACCCCTGCTCCTCCCACCACGCAGAACTGAAATGAGAACTAGGGCAGGCCTGGGCAGAGAGTGAGAGTCGTCCCTGCCAATTAGAGATCCAGGGAAAGTTTGATGAGAGCCTCCAGAGGATCCCTGGGCTACTTGACGTTTCCCTTATAGTCAAAGCTAAGGGCCAGTTTTATTACAGGTTTAGGGCTGTCATGGACTGCAAGTCTTCTGGGTCAGCATGCTGTGGGGCATCAAGAACACACTGAGAAAACAGATAGGCCTCATGCCTCATTCTCTCCACCAGACAATAATGTCCTTTTTCACTGTAGCCAGCAGTTGGTGGGGAGCAGAAGCTGGAGTCAATGCCTGATGCTCCAAAAAAGGCTGTTGTGTGGGAGAGAAATCACAGCTGGGTCCTAAGGCATGTGACTTGGGTAAGACACATCACCTACCGCGATTCCTCACCTGGAAAACGGAGACTGTTAAATCAACTTCACGAGGAATGGCTGTGAAGGTCAATGAGATCAGGGCTTGAAAGCACAGGACAGACTGCAAATCCGAATTCATTCAAAGGGTGAACAGTTAGCACTACGACTAAGAGCTGAGAATCACTTGGCGATGCTAATCGGGTCTACCAGTCCAGTGTTAACTTCACTGGAGTCTGGGGGGGCCGGGTGTTGTCAGGCTGGGCCTAGGCCTGTCTTTGAACAACGGTGATGCTCATGTCTCCTCCAGCAAGGAGGAAGACGAGGGGTAGCTGAAATGTTCACCCTGGTGACTTTCCCCAAGGTTCTCAATACATCTAATCTTCAAAGAACCTAGGGAGAGGGGCTTCCATGGAAACCTGGAAAAGGGCACTTGGAGCAGAAAGGGGATCAAGACTTCTCGCACATTCACCCTGTCCAAGTGACAGCCACGAAGAGGGCTCTGTAAACTCAAGAAAAAGTTCCCTCAACGGCATGGCAAATTCATCTTACCAGGGACCGCAAGAGGGGCACAGGGCGAAGCTCTGAGCTCTGCTAAGGTAGACCCTGAGAGCTCGCCAGCCTTAATGCTTCCTTGTTTGTCAAAATAGGATCATACTGACTGCAGGTGCTAAATTAAGGCTCAAATGGGCTAGTACCTGTGAAAGCACTTTGCAAACGTTCGTGATGACCATGCAGCGGCGGTTCCCAGCAGGAGTCAAGTCAGATTAGAGTGGTTTTCTCCAGTTCTCCCAGCTCCAGCTCCTGTCTGCTTTGCGGTTACCAGCCAAGCATTTCTGGAAAGGGTGTGCCCACAGTGGGCAGAAAGGATTCGGTAATGAACGGGCGGAACGCAGTCAGGGCAAGTGCCAACCTGATCACCAGCTCCCCCTCCTACCCAGCCTCAGTTTCTTTCTCGGCTTGGACCAGGTCAGTGGGAGGGCAGAGGCGGACGTTTGGGAAGGGTCCCGGTTTCTGGCGCGAAGCCGGGATTCCCCGGTCCGGGCGAGCCGCCCACAGGGATGCCGCTCCGGAAGCACCTGGTACAAGGAACCCGCGACCTTCTCGGGAAGGTGGCTATGACCCCAGCCAAGGGCATGGCAGTCCAGATGCCTGGCGGAGTCGGCCGCCCCCTCCCTGATCCCTGTGGGGAGAGGTCGGGAGCAGACGCCCGGCCCCAGTCCGCCTGCCGCGACCCTTCCCCGCCGCGCGCGGGCCGCCCTCTGCCCGCAAGCTGGAAAGGTCCTTGCTCCGGACAAGAGCCAGGAGCTGAGCTACCTACTCCTGGGGGCACGGCAGGGCCAAAAGGAAAGAGGGAAGGGAATCGGCGTTTGGGGAAGGGGTTTCCTCAGCTCTGCGGGACAAACCAGCCTTCCCTGTCGCGAAGGGCTTCGGTTCTGGGCTGGAGGTGGCACTCACCGGTCCCGCGGCCCGGGCAGCCGAGCGTACAGCCCACGCCCGGCCCGACTAGAAAGGCGGGCCGCGTGAGGCGGCGGGAAGAGCCTGGGCAGCGCAGGGGAGGGGCGGGAGCGGCTGGGAGGAGAGAGCCGGGACCGCCGGACCGCAGCCCGCCTGCGGCCGCCGCTCCGACCCAGTGGCCGGCGGGAGGCCGGCTCCTCCCCCGGGGCGGGGCGCGCGCACGCGGAGCCGGGCGCACGTGGCCCACCCGGGACGCCCGGAGCCGGCTTGCGGGCTGCGTCCAGGAGGAGGCAGTTTCTCGGGGGTAAGAGGAAGCGTGGAACGGCAGCCTCCTGTGTTGTTTGGGGAGACGTGCTGTTTCTTGGGCCGTGAGGTCTTTCAGTAGAGAGCGAGTCTTGGTCGTGTTCCTCAAGCCCCATTACCCTGACAGGGTCTCGTGAGCTCCGTGAAGCGCGAGACGCACCCTTTCCGCTCCGGGGCCTTTTCTCTCGGGCCAGCCCACAGCCTGGACCCGGGAGGGTCTAGGCTTTGTAAACCCTAAACAGAAGACAATCATGGGGGCGCCCCCTTTACGCGGAATCTGCCGGCCCGGAAGAGCAGCCTGGCCCGCGCCGGCCGGAAGCGCCGCTCTCCAAGGAGGAAGCCGCTTGCTTCCGGGTGGTCGGGCGGGTGCGGTGGGAACCTGGCTTCGAGAGCCACCTGGACGACCACCTGGAGCACGTGAGGTGTGAGGGCCGGGTGGACCAGTGGCGGGCGAACGGGGCTTTTATTTTTAAAGGTCGGCCGACTCGAGCCGGTTACGGTGAGCTGGCCTTGCAGGGCCCAAACGCGTGTATGCATTCATTCGTTTGTTTATTCGCTGCGGTTCGTGTTTGAGTAACACGTTCCAGTGTGGCACTTTTCAGAGAGGTGTTTTAGATCGCTGTTAAGGAAAAAAAAAAAAAAAAGCAGCTGACACTAGTAAGTGCTGTGTTAGGCGTCCATTCTGTGCACCTGCGCCTACACCGGAACCTGTGGCTGGCTGTGAACCAGAGCTGGAAAAGCCTGGGATTCAGAGCACTGAAGGGCTTGTGTTTTGTACCAGATACAGTGAGTGCAGAGGCTCTAACGAGAAGCCAAGGCTCCCAAGTCCAAAGTGTGCTTAAAACTGCTGCTCTCTTCCCCCTGCCTACAATTTAAAGGCATTGATACAGTGTGTTGTTTTCTTTAGATAATCTTAATAGCATATACAGTACTATGCTGTGTAGTAGGAGTTCCTGGCTGTGGTGCCATTCTCAAGTTTATATCCCAAAATCACCTTTGTGACTATACCCCACGCTGAGACTACCCAGAGCCTTCTAGCCATGTGTTAGTATGACATGAGTATCCTAATGCATCAGTGTTAGATTTCATCCCACAATCCTTGGAAAGGGAATCACAGTCTATGGGTTCTGCCCATGACATGAAATCCTTAGGATCTAAGGTTCTGCTCTGAAACCCAGGAATGACAGGACAGTCAAGTCAGGTACAGACGTGCCACTTCCACAAGAATGTGGTTTTCCTCCAATTCATTCCTGTGCTCTTGTGTTTACAGGAGGAAAAAACATGTCTCAAAAGCAGATGAAGGAGGCTTTTGTCAGTAACCTCAATGGAACCACCGTGCTAGAAGTCACCCAGGGCTTGTGCTTTCCCGCACTCTGTGTCCTGTGCAGAGGGCTCCTGATCATTGTCTCACAGCACCTGTATTCTTCACATGCCTGGAGGTTTTTCATTGACTTCTTTGTCCTAGTAGTTCCCCTGGTGGCCACTTTGACCATTTTGTCTTCATTTATCCTCATTGAGAACCTCACTGTGATTCTCTTTGGGGCGGGGCTGTTCTATCAAATATACCGAAGGAGGACTTCCCATGCCAGATTGCCTATCCAGAAAATCCTTGAAAAATTCTGGAAAATTAGCCTAGAATCAGAATACATTCCAGCCATCTCTTGTTTCCGTGTAGTTAACAGTATATTTACTGCTATCGCCATTTTGGCTGTGGACTTCCCACTTTTCCCCAGAAGATTTGCTAAAGCTGAGCTCTATGGGACAGGAGCAATGGATTTTGGAGTAGGCGCTTTTGTTTTTGGGACTGCAATGGTTTGTCCAGAGATCAGAAAGAGAAAATACATGGATGGGTCCAAATTTTATTATTTTATGAAGTCATTGTACTCTGTTTGGCCGTTAATCTTCCTTGGAGTAGGACGATTAGTCATCATAAAATCCATAGGCTATCAGGAACATTTAACTGAGTATGGAGTTCACTGGAACTTTTTCTTCACCTTAATAGTTGTGAAATTGTTAACATCATTGCTTTTGATGGTTTTCCCGCTAAATAAGTCCTGGATTGTAGCCATTAGCGTTACTGTATTGTATCAGTTAGCGCTTGACTTTACCCCAATGAAGAGGTTAATTCTGTATGGCACTGATGGCAGTGGCACAAGAGTTGGTTTATTTAATGCCAACCGAGAAGGAGTAATTTCGACCTTGGGGTACGTGGCAATACACATGGCCGGTGTGCAGACGGGGTTGTATGTGCTGAAGAACAGATCAGATGCCAAAGAGTGGGTCAAAGTAGGATGCTGTCTTCTTCTGGCAGCTGTTGGCCTCTTTATAGCTCTTTATATAGTTCAGGTACATGTAGAAGTGGTCTCTAGAAGAATGGCCAATTTAGCCTTTTGTATTTGGATAGTTGCTTCTAGCCTGATCCTTCTTGGTGGTTTATTTCTGAGTGATATGATTTTGAGTTTTGCCAAATTTCTAATTAAAGGAGCTCTAGTACCATGTTCTTGGAAACTTAACCAATCACCTGCTACAAATAAAAAGCATTTGGAATCGGTAGTCCCTGAAGCTGACAGAAAAGAATCCAGTCTCTGTTTAATCACAGCTCTGAACAGAAACCAGCTAGTTTTTTTCTTGCTCTCAAATCTGACAACTGGCCTGGTCAATCTCATGGTGGACACGTTACACAGCAGCACCTTAGAGGCTTTATTGGTACTCAGCTTGTATATGTTTACCAACTGTTTGATCATATATATGTACTTTATTTGCAAGATAAGACTATAAAGTTCTCGTGATCAACAGGATCTATCTGTATTTGAGCAGTATTTTATTGGGAAAGAATAAGTGTAAAGAAAATGTACTTTTGGCAACCCAGTCTCAGACATATTTTATTATAAAATTAGTTTCAGCCCCTCTCTTTACTGCAGTGAGGCTTAATGTTTTCAATGTATTTCCACAGCATACAAATCAAACCAATAAAGAAGAAACACAACCTTGTGACGTGTTAAGATTTATTAATCTGTTTACAGCGTGGAAGATTGGAGGATGCCAAGGAGGAGTTTTAACTTTCCATCTTAATATCACCTTGTGCCATTTCTTTTACTGTTTTTTTTTTTTTACAATGTTCACATTAAATGAAGTGTTTATATTAAGACCATTTCAATGTGAATTGTGTATTGTCAATATTTCTTTGCTGCTCGATTTTAATCTTTTAAAAACCCTAGGGGGGCCGGCATTATGACATAGTGGGTGAAGCTGCTGTCTGTGTTGCTGGTTCAAGTCCCTGCTGCTCCACATCTGATCCAGCTGCTTGCTAATGTGCATAGGAAAGCAGAAGAAGATGGCCCAAGTGCTTGGGTCCCTGTAGCTATGTGAGAAACTGGGAAGAATTTCCTGGCTCCTGGCTTCAGACTGGCCCACCACTGACTGTTGCGGCCATTTGGGGGAGTGAACCAGTGGATGGAAGATCTCTGTCTCCTCTCTGTAACTCTGCCTTTCAAATAAATAAATAAATTTTTTTAAAAAGTCTATGAATAAGAAGGAAGTGTTTGAAATCAAATACATTCTTCAAAGTCAGAAAACAGAATAAACTGAATTGTATAATGTAGTTTGCATACTCTGCTTAGCCATCAATGAGAAGCAGTTTTCCTGCAATGAATAGCAAGTTTCCTGCTGTCTTAGAGCTTTCAGTCTAGTGAGGGAACGGACAATAGGCAACTGTTATAAACTAATCACGATGTTCCCCAGAGTGTCAAGTCAGCTAACCTAGTAAGAAGTCACAGTATTCCTCCAGATGGTATTTTATTTTGGGGCTGGACCTAATGGATGAGGTGAAGAATTTATCTTAGGGAGTGGGAGCCAGTAAGCAAAAAGAGCACTTCTAGGTAGGATGAGCCCCTCGGCAAACGTCCTAAGTTGGGAGGAAATTGGCACATTTGGGACTGAAAGGAGGGAGACGTGAGCACCTATGGTTGAGTATCAGCTCTAATTTTGGCTTCCTGGTAATGCCAATCCCAGTAGGCATCAGGTGAGGGCTCAAGTAATGGTTTCTGCCACCCACCCACATTGGTCATCTGGATTGAGTTCTTGGCTTTAGCCTGGTCTAGGCCATTGTGAGCATTTGGGGGAGTGAACCAGCAGATGAGAAAATGTCTCAAACAAAAAAAAATTTTTAAGGGACAGCATGGGCAGTAAGCTGAAAAGATAGGCAGGAGCCATATTGAGCATGCCTTATCAACCATACAACGGAACAGTGAGATAGTGAAAGTTGTCAAGTGCCCAATCCAATTTAATAAAATTGTGGCTATAGCAAGGTTCAGTATCTTACTGAGAGTTTCAGTCAATTAAAAACAGCAAATCTATGAACCTGCTGTTAAAATCTAAAAAAAAAAAAAATTATTTGCGAGGTAGAGTTACAGTCAGTGAGAGGGAGAGACAGAAAGGTCTTCCGTCCGTTGGTTCACTCCCCAGATGGCCACAACAGCTGGAGCTGCGCTGATCTAAAGCCAGGAGCCAGGTGCTTCTTCCTGTTCTCCCATGTGGGTGCAGGAGCCCAAGTAGTTGGGCCATCCTCCACTGCCCTCCCAGGCCACAGCAGAGAGCTGGATTGGAAGAAGAGCAGCTGGAACTAGAACCAGTGTCCATATGGGATGCCAGAACTACAGTCAGAGGATTAACCTGCTCCAGGGCTCCAGCCCCAAAATCTAAAATTTTAAAACCTACAAAATCCCGTTTCCAATTATAATGTTCAGTGTGTATCACTCAAAGTGGGCAAAATAACATTTGTGTTTAGGAGCCAGCATTAGAGAGCAGGTTATTAAGCCACATGTGCTTGCGACACCAGCATCCCGTGTCACAGTACTAGTTTGAGTTCCAGTGGTTCTACTTCATATCCAGTTTCCTGTTAATTCACCTGGGAAGGCAGTGGGTGATGGCCCAAATACTTGGGCCATTCACACCCATGTGGGAAGTGCACATGAAGTTCTAGGCTCCTGGCTTCAGCCTGGCCCACCTCTGGTTGTTGTGGCCATCTGGGGGGTAAACCAGCAGATTAAAGATCTCTCTTTCAAATCTTAATATTTTTTGTTTGCATTTAGTTCTGTTTTCAAGAAGAAATCTAGTTACTGGGGCTGGTGTTGTATAGTAGGTCAAGTTGCTGCCTGCAACACCGGCATCCCATACCAGTGCCAATTTGAGTTCCAAATAAAAATAAACAAAAAGAGGGGCTGGCTCAGTGGTATAGTGGGTAAAGCAGTTACCAGCAGTGCCGTCATCCCATACGGGTGCCAGTTCGAGTCCTGGCTGCTCCACTTCCAATCCAGCTTTCTGCTATGGCCTGAGGAAGCAGCAACAGATGGCCCAAATCCTTGAGTCCCTGCACTTGCTTGGGAGACCCGGAAGAAGCTCCTAGCTCCTGGCTCAGCTCCAGCCACTGCAGCCTTCTGGGGAGTGAACCAGTGGATGGAAGACCTCTCTCTCCTTCTGCCTCTTTTAACTTTGCCTTTCAAATGAATAATAAATAAGTCTTTAAAAAATAAATTTAAAAAATTGGTTATTGCCAGGCTGCGGCTCACTAGGCTAATCCTCCGCCTTGTGGTGCTGGCACGCCGGATTCTTGTCCCGGTCGGGGCGCCGGATTCTGTCCCGGTTGCCCCTCTTCCAGGCCAGCTCTCTGCTGTGGCCAGGGAGTGCAGTGGAGGATGGCCCAGGTGCTTGGGCCCTGCACCCCATGGGAGACCAGGAGAAGTACCTGGCTCCTGCCATCGGATCAGCGCCATGCACCAGCTGCAGTGGCCATTGGAGGGTGAACCAACAGCAAAGGAAGACCTTTCTCTCTGTCTCTCTCTCACTGTCCACTCTGCCTGTCAACAAAAAAAAAAAAAAAATTGGTTATTGCAGAAATGGCTGCGGGTCAGAGTGTTTAGATTATTCTGGTATTTAGGAAGCAAACTAGATTGTGTAGTACAGAGCAGGTAGTGCCTCTGATAGTAAATTGTAGTTTTGCAAAATTTATTTTATTCTCTAATTGTTAAATTTGACTCTTTATTTTGACAGGCAGAGTTAGACAGTGAGAGAGAGAAAGAGAGAGAGAGAGAAAGAAAGGTCTTCCTTTTTCCGTTGGTTCACTCCCCAAATGGTTGCTATGGCTGGAGCACTGCGCTGATCCGAAGCCAGGAGCCAGGTGCTTCCTCCTGGTCTCCCATGTGGGTGCAGACCCAAGCACTTGGGCCATCCTCCACTGCCTTCCCGGGCCACAGCAGAGAGCTGGCCTGGAAGAGGAGCAACCGCAACAGAACCGGTGCCCCAACCGGGACTAGAACCCGGTGTGCCGGCGCCGCAGGTGGAGGATTAGCCTAGTGAGCCGCGGCGCCAGCCAAATTTGACTATTTTTCAAAAAGATTTTATTTATCTATTTGGGAGGCAGAGTTACAGAGATCGATCTTCCATCCGCTGATTCACTCTCCAAATGGCCACAACAGCAGAAGCTGGGCTGATGCAAAGCCAGGAGTCAGGAGCATCCTCCTGGTCTTCCAAGTGTGTACAGGAAATCAAGCACTTGGGCCATCCTCCACTGCTTTTCCAGGCCATCAGCAGGGAGCTGGATCAGAAGTGGAGCAGCCAGGACTCTAACTGGAGCCCAGATGAGATGCTAGTGCCACAGCCCCTGGCCTAATCCCATCATAGCACCGGCCTCAATTTTATTATTTGAAGAAATATTTCCACTAAAGAAATAAGTATGTTATGTAACTTAAAATAAAAATTAGATTTTATTTTCAATTAAAGACTTGAAGATGGGGCTGGTGTTGCAGTATATCAGGTTGAGCTTCTGCCTGCAGTGCCGGCATCCCATGTGGTGCCAGTTCGAGTCCCAGCTGCTCCACTTCTGATCCAGCTCCCTGCTAATGTGCCTGGGAAAGCAGTGGAAGATGGCCCAACTGCCTGGGCCCCTGCACTCACGTGGGAGACTTGGAGGAGGCTCCTGGCTTCTTACTTCAGCCTGGCCCAGCCCTGGCCCTTGTGGCCATTTGGGGAGTAAACCAGTGGGATGGAAGATCTCTCTCTCTCTGTCTCTCTCCAACCCTGCCTTTCAAATAAATAAAATAAATCTTAAAAAAAAAATACTTGGAAGTTTAACCAATAAGATTATAGTGTGTAAATTAAGCATGATTAGGAAAGAGAATTCGTTTTACGTCTAAACTTGTCACAGTGGCTATACTCCATGGTTTATCTCTGTTTAAGGATTAAGAGGGCAGCAGGCTCAACTATATTGTCATTCTATTTAGAAAAGTAATGTAAAGTGTTATCTGATGACTTAACAAACATCTTGTATAACTGGTTTGTTGATTTTTGTCACTACTCTGTCCTTTTCTTGGTATTAAGTGTCTCTCAGTAAATTTATTTATTGGCAATTACAGATATTGAATCATAAAGGGCCAAGTGTACTCTGTGTGCATTTTTTTCCACCTCTAGTCACAAAAATCAGTAAGAGAAAGCAAATGAAATCCTATTTGTAGAACCAGAAGAATTACTGTGCACAGGCCTGACTTGATTCTTGTTTATAGAAGAGACAGAGATCATTCAACAAAGATTTACTGAGTTTCAGTGCACCAGATACAAGTGTCAGGGACAAGACAAGTGTAAGGGACAAAAGACAAAGTTTCCACCTTCAAGGAGCTTACATTTTCATTTAGTTTAATCGTGTGTAGACATTATTGAGTAGGGGAAATGTAACTCCATTTTTGACAGATAGAGTGAAGCTTCCCACTGTCACCTCATGAAAAATAAAATCCAACCTACAGATCCTCAGGTTTAGATAACTGTGGCAACTTAAATAGCATGCTGCTGTTGATTTTACTACTACATAAAACAGTGTGGTTATTTTAGTGAAAAGAGACGGCACTCTATAATTATTTCCTTTGCAGCCATCAACTTTTGAGGACAAAGTCAGGATTGAGTTAGGAAGACTGATCTAGGACCTTAGCCCTTTAGAATATGACTTACTCATTTTAATTTTATATAACTATAAATTCGGGATTAGCTACCACATATGAGTGTCAGAAGATGACAACCAATTTTATTTTTATAGAGCATCAATGGCCAGTATGTGTTATATGAATCACACAAAAACACAATTTGCTCCTGTAGGTTCACCTATAGTCATAAGAACAAAAAAATAAATCTGTCCTCTTTCTTTTAAATGTAGGTGGTATGGGAAATAATCATATAAAATTCAAGCCTGAGTTTTGTAGGCCCTAAGAAGAAAAAGAACGGTATTTTGCTGATAATCTTCCACATCTCCATCATTTGATTCTTTAAAAATATTATCTGGTAAAACTTTTTTATCAGGTTTTTTAAAAATGTATTTGAAAGGCAGAGTTAGAGAGAGGGAAAGACACACACAGACACACACAGATCTTCCACCTGCTGGTTCATTCCTCAAATGGCTGCAATGGCCAGAGCTTGGGCCAGGTTGAAGCCAGGAGCCTGAAGCTTCATCTGGTTCTCCCATAGGTTCGGGGGCCCAAGCGGTTGGGCCATCTTCCACTGCTTTTCCCAGGAGCATTAGCAGGGAGCTAGATTGGAAGTGGAGCAGCTGGGACAGGAACCAGCCCATATGGGATGCTGGTGTTGCAGGTGGCAGCTTAACCTGCGATGCCACAATGCTGGTCCCACTTTTTTTTTTTTTTTTTTTGGTATGAATTTATTAAGACATTGTATTCTCAAGGTCACAGCAATGCTTAATTACAACACACTTCTCATCAATTCCCATGTTAAAGTGATACTAATACAGAGATTCAATGTAGCTCCATCTGTTCTTAAGTACCAACAAAATGTGCTCTGCTGTTACCATCTCCTAGTCTTTCAACTTTGCCTTTCACAATGCTAATATCAAGATTTAAAAATGGGGGCGGCACTTTGGCACAGTGGGTTAAAGCCCCAGCCCATGGCACCAGCATCCCATAGGGCGCTCTAGTCCCAGCTGCTCCTCTTCCCATCCAGCTCTCTGCTGTGGCCTGGGAAAGCAGTGGAGGATGGCCCACATCCTTGGGCCCCTGCACCCGCGTGGGAGACCTGGAGGAGGTTCCTGGCTCCTGGCTTCGGATCAGCTCAGCTCTGGCCATTGTGGTCATTTGGGGAGTGAACCAGCGGAATGGAAGACCTCTCTCTCTTTCTGGCTCTACCCCTCTCTGTAACTGTCTTTCAAATAAATAAAATAATTCTTTAAAAAAATTTAAAAATGGGCAACAACTAGCTTTCTTATGTTGACTTTTTGTCTGTTAGCGGTAAGGTCTCTGAAAGCAGATACTTTTCATTTTAAAGTATACAGGAGAGTGGGGCTGGTGTTATGGCACAGGGGGTTGAGTCCTGGCTGCTTCACTTCTGATCCAGTTTCCTGCTAATGTGCCTGGGAAAGCAACAGAAGATGGCTGAGGTACTTGTGCCTCTGTACCCACGTGGAAGATCCTGCCTTCCCCCCTCCCCCCCCCCCAAAAAAAAAAAAAAAAAAAAGTACATAGGAGAATACTCAAGAAATATTTGTTGTAGCACTAGTGGTTATAACTAAAGGTGGGCCAGTAGTGAACTAGGAAGATGGAGTCAAAACTTCTAAAAATTGTTTTGCAATATAGTGATTTTCTAAACATTTCCCCTTCAGTATTATCATATCTGTAGCACCCAGACTACCTCCTTCAGGAAAAGAAATTTACCTAGCAAATTACCCACCTTTTAGCCTTATACTATGTATTCGCTGAATGCCTATAGCATGTGAATCATTGAAGATACTCTAAAGTGCTGAGGATCTAAGAGAAACCCAACTCAGGCAAAGCAGGCTCAGATGGCAATAGACTGTTAAGGTTTCCTCTTATATTTGACATTTGGGTTTTAATGGGTTTGTTAACTTTCAATTTCAGTCCCCAGGGTGAGCACAATCTTCCTCGCTGTCACCTGGTGTGTGTTCAGTAATAAAATTAGCGCCTATACATAACATATTGAACTTATCATTCTCAATGTTCTTTCACAAACCTCTCGACCTTTGAAGCCACCGCATCCTCTGTTCTTGAGTGTTTTTTACATAAAACACGATATTCTGAAAAAGGCCAATATGTTGACTGTACTCTGACCTGCCAGGAGCTGCGTGCACAAGCTATGGGCCTGATGGACTTGGGCTAACGATCACACTGTTCTGCCATCCCCACACGGCCCAAAGGCATAAATACTGACAGGATAATCACAGCTTTGGGACTGAACAATGGTTCTTCCAGTTTATTATGTCACTTGCCCCAACAGTGACCACACAATGTCCTCGGTCAACATGGCTAAGATTGCACTATGGGGTTTTCTGTTGTGAACTAGTGATTTCCTGTGATGACCGGAACACTTTACAAAGGTCAATGTCACAGCTCTGGCCTACTCTACCGGGAAACATAGACCTACCCTTAAGATTAGTAAGTTTTAAGAACAGTAAATGGATTTATCCTTAAAATCGTCAAGACTTTCATGGGCAAAACACTTCTCAACAACCATTTTGGCTTTACAACAGGCGTCTGAAGCCTCCAAGGTAAGCCCCGCACCTAGCGGCTTGTCAGCTCTGCTTCTGGGGGGATGGCCAGAGGGAGAGGCGGGCCCTTGGCCAGTACCAGTTACTTTGCCACGGGAATCCCTGTTAATATTAACCCACCCCGAGAAGTCCCTTTGGCTAAGACACACACGTTTGCCGCTAGTGTAACAAGTCGACACTTAAACGTGGGATCTCGACGCTGTGGCAAATCGGGAAGCAGTCAGGTGAACACCTGCCGGTGCACCAGGGTTTCCTGGCCCTTTCCACCCATCTTCCCGTCGTGGGAGGAGGACTGAGAGGCCTCAAGCCCTGGAGACTAAGGAGCGAGCCCGCCTCTTGGCGCCTAGATGCCGTCCTTCCGCTCTCACCAGCCTCGGCGGCTCCCCATTTACCCAAGTCCTCACTAGGATTCGACCGCGCGGGGTCGGCCCTAAGCTCGGCGGAGCGGGCCCCAGCCCCACGCCCTGGGGAACTGGGGTTGACTTCCGCACGCCTCCTACCAGCCCTACTTCGGATTTGACGGTGGGTAGCCAGACCCGAGAGAGGGCGCAGACAGCCGCCCGGGAGCACCCCGGATACGGCCGCGAGCATTTCGAAAGCCGAGCCCCGAGAGCCGCGGCCGAGTCTCGCGAGAGGAGGCGCGGCCCCGCCCGGCGTTCTCGACCCCTCCCTGCCCCGCCCTCCCCACGTCCCCCCCTTCCCTCCCTCCCCCACTCCCCGTGGCGCGAGCGGCTGACTGAGCCTGGAGAGGAAACGGCATTCGGAGCCGCGCTCCCGCCCAGGCCGGCCCTGACGCGGGCCTCGTCAGACGGTAACGGGGAGCAGAGGTGGGGGTCCGGGAGGCGACCACGGAAACGGTGAAGGTCAGACCCGAGAGCCCTCCGAGAAGGGTGAGGAAAGGCTCCGAGCCTCCCTCCACCCGGGACTCCGCAGCGCTGAGGCGGGGTCGACCCCTCCCAGGGGCGGGGTCGCGCTGGGCAACTGCAGCCCTGGGGACTGGCTGGGCGGGGCGCGCCGACACGGGGGAGAAGGGGGCAGCCGGTGGGCCGAGGGCGCCCCGGCGGCGGGAAGCGGGCAGGTGGGGCCGGGGGCCTGGGGGGTCCTGGGGCCGGGGCGCCCGGGCCGGGCGGGGACGTCCCCGGGCCGGCGGCTCCCTTCCGCCTCTCCTTTGGACCCTGACTGGAGGCCGGCGGGCGGGGGGCGGGCCCGGCGCGGCCCGGCGCGGATTGGCTGCGCGCGTGTGGAATCGGGTGATGGGAAACGCAGCCCGGCTCTCCCGTCCCCGCCTGCTCGGCGGCTTCCCCCCCGTGGCGAATGTGCTGCGCGGCGGCGGCGGCGGGTGCTTACGCTCGCGGGGTTTGGCTGTTGCAGGCAGGAGCTGGGAGGAGGCGGCGGCGGCGGCGGCAGCGGCAGGAGCAGCGGCGGCAGCGGCGGCTGGGAGGCGGTGGTGACGGTGGCAACGGCAGCGTCGGGGACGATGGCGCGACTGGTGGCAGTGTGCAGGGACGGGGAGGAGGAGTTCCCCTTCGAGAGGAGGCAGATTCCCCTCTACATAGACGACACCCTCACGGTGAGCGGGCCGGGCCGGGCTGGGCCTGCCGCTCCCCTGGCAGCTGTTTGCCCTCCTCCCCCTCCCCCAGGCCGAGCGCTGCGCACAGGAGAGAGTGTGTTGCAACTCCGAGGCGAGGCCTGCTCGCCGGCAGGCCCCACAGACTCGCCTTCGCGGCGGGTTGCTGGGTAACCCTGCCGGCCCCAGCCCAGGTCTCCAAATGCACCGTGAGCCCCGCTGTCCGGGTTCGCCTTCCTCTCCGAACCCGCGTGCCGTGCCCTTTCCCCCTGGGAGGCTCTGCTGTGGCCCAAGCACGCGCCTCGGACAGGGGTTGAAGGCTCCTGGGCGTTTAGGGCCTAAGCCTTCCAGAAACCACCTACCCTCGGGGAGGCTTAATTACCTGGAAATGTCGCAGCTGCACTGCTGCCCGTACATTTCCTATTTTAACGCTGTAGCTCTCACTACAGACTCGTAATTACGGAGGACAGGGTGACATGCTCTTGCACAGTAAAGATTCCACTGAACTGATTCGCTTTCCTTGTAAGTAGTCTCCGTGCCCTGTTGCCTGGTGCATTCAAACTCCTGAAACGGCTGTGTGGCCAGGCCATGACTCTTCAGAAAGGGCCTTCCTGGCATTAGTTACCTTCTGGTTTGGAGGGAACTTTTTTTTTTTTTTTTCTAAGAGTTGGTGGTAGTACAGCATTACAGACTCTTTGCCCTGTGTTGCTGTACTGTTTCCTCTAAAAGGAAATGGCAGAAATTTGAATTGAATCTGAACAGGAAATGAGTGCTGTTGCTTGCCACTCTTACTGAGAAATGAAATGATCCTTTCTGAATACTTTTGAAATCTACATTTTGATGATGCTGGAGCTCTGACGTATACATCTGCCTGTTTTGATACAGTGTAGCTAAGGGTTTCTCTTATCACAGTTGGCATTTTTGCCATTCAAAGGCAGTTGATGAATTTTGTTGCTGAATTGTTTGCAAATATCTGCTGAGTTTTTTTTTTTTTTTTCAAATTTTATATAAAATGCAAGTCATTGTAGAGATAGCAGTCTGTGCCTTTCTGTTTGCCAGTCTCAGTGAAGACTTGATTGAGCTGCAGTACTTTTTGGACTAGAAGGACTAGAATGGCTATTGAATGCCTTCATTTGTTGGAACTTTTCAGGCGAAAACATCTGCAGTTATCCTGGTGCATAATTTTTTCATGGAAAAAGGTAGATAGAGTCTGATTGTAAAGTAAGTAGAATTTATGTCTCTGCCTTAGAAATTATAGTTTCTATACTTTTTGCACTAGAAGTCTAATAGATTTATATTTCAAAAACTAGCGCTGTGACCAAATTGATGTATTTCTCACTTTCGAGACTCTGTAGAGGAGGTCATTCCTTGGCTTTTTTTCTTTCCTCCCCCTCCAACCTAAACACTTTTCTAAAACACATAGATTGAAATAGACCTCTTACGTTTATTATCCCAGAATGATTTTAAAGTTTTTATTGAAAAATTTGAGTTTGAGTATAAGATTACTCTTGAGTGTGTAATATCAGTACATTATTTGGAGTACTTAAAAAATGTTAAGAGACACTTACTGAGTCCCCTCGTACACATAATCATCTTCAGTGTGACTGCAACACATTAATACATCTGTCATACCAATTTGGCCAAATTTCGGGTGTTTTTTTACCCTGTTCTCACCACAGTGATGTGACGTTTCAAAATTTCCCACAAAGCTGGAACCTTGCGCTGTGGTTTAATGTGGAATTTATTTTGCACTGTGTCTTGTGGTTGAATTTTGCATTTATTGTATTGTGGACTTGGAACCTAGGCAAATAAAATCTCAGTTAATTTAATTATATCAAAATAACAGTTTTTCACTTGAGAAAATGCAGTTTTTCTTTGTTTGGAGTGGGTTTTAATCTTTAGTGAAGGAGTGAGACATTTTACTTGTCTTGGACCTTCTGCATAGTCATTGGATGTTAGGAGAATTCTTGTCATAGATTGACCATGTTTCAAGACCATTCTACCAAATACCACTTAAAGAGAGAATAGACAAAACACCTGTTGGGGGGAGAGGGGGAGGAGGCGGGACAGGATAAGGCAGGTTGGTGGCAGACGTCTGTGTTTTGTGCTGATCTGTTGGTAGTTTGATGGCAGTGTATGCCTACATACAGTTGGATTGAGCTTTGTTCCTAGGATCCTGTAGGTAGTTCACTGAGAAGACATTGTGTGATGTTTGTATTAAGTACATAGTTTTAGAAGCTTGTTTGCAGCTAGCTGTTATAGTCTATTTACAATGTTTACAGTTTACAGTCAGTTACGAGTTTTATCATTTTAGTAACAGATGGGTTGTGGGGAAAACTCTAGTTGTAGTTAACCTGGCAATTGTAAATTGGATTTGTAAAATGAAATTAAGAAGTATGTGTAAGAAGAAGCAGCCTCTTTTATGTAATATGTTGTATCCACATTTAAAAGATTGCTCTGGTGGTCGGTTTGAAACTTGAATGCAGTGGTGATGTAGGTGTATTTGAAAAATCCCAAATGAGTACACAGGTGGACTATGTAGGAAGGTGTTAGGCTGTGCGACCAAAATGCTATTCAGTGTTGTTAGAAGTATAAAATAGCAGATTTAATACAGATTTTATTTTAGAGACATATTTAAAGAGGTAGAATTGAAAAAAAATTTTTTTTTTCATTTTCTTTGAAGGCAGAAAGAGACACAGAGATCTTCCCCACTGGCTTACTCCCTAAATGCCTGCAACAGTCAGGTTCTGCGCTAGGCTAAATCTAGTAGCCAGGAACTTAGTTCAGGTCTCCCTGTAGTTGCCAGGGACCTAAGTATTTGAACCATCATCCTTCTACCTTCTCAGGGTGCACATTAGCAAGAAGCAGGATTGGAAGCAGAACTGGAACTTGAACCCAGGCACTCTGATATAGGGTGCAGGTGTCCCCAAGCAGCATTTTTTAAATTTATTTATTTTTATTTTTTTATTTGACAGGCAGAGACAGAGAGAGACAGAAAGGTCTTCCTTCCATTGGTTTACTCCCCAAATGGCCGCTACAGCCGGTGCTGCGCCGATCTGAAGCCAGGAGCCAGGTACTTCTCCTGGTTTCCCACGCGGGTGCAGGGGCCCAAGCACTTGGGCCATCCTCCACTGCACTCCTGGGCCACAGCAGAGAGCTGGAGTAGAAGAGGAGCAGCTGGGATTAGAACCCGGCGCCCATATGGGATGCCGGTGCCGCAGGTGGAGGATTAACCGAGTGAGCCGAGGCGCCGGCCCCATCCCAAGCATCATTTTAATTGCAGCACCAAGCACTTTGCCCAAGAGTTACAGTTTTCAAGCAAGTAGTCTTCTTTTTAGTTTTTTAAAGGATTCAGTTATTTTTAAATCTATTTATAATAAAATATTTATTTATCTGCAAGCCAGAATTACGGAGAACAAGATCTTCTATCCAGTTGTTCATTCCCCAGATGGCTGCATTGGCCTAGGCTGGACCTGGTGGAAGCCAGGAAGCTAGAACTCCATCTGGGTCTGCCGTAAGGGTGGCAGGGGCCTAAGCACTTGGGCCAACTTCTGTTGCTTTCCCTGGAACATTAGCAGGAAGCTGGATTGGAAGTGTAACAGCTGAGACTTGAAGCAGCGCTTACATTATACTGGCATTGCAGATAATGTCTTAATGCCCTGCGCCACAGCACCAGATTTATTTATTTATTTGGAAGGGCAGAGTGACAGAAAGTGCTCGGATATGAAATGCCGGCATCAAGAAGTAGAAGCTTAACCCACTGTACTGCAGTGCTTCCCCCCTGCCTTTAAAAAGATTTTATTTATTTATTTTATTTTTATTTTTATTTATTTATTTATTTATTTATTTATTTTGACAGGCAGAGTGGACAGTGAGAGAGAGAGACAGAGAGAAAGGTCTTCCTTTTGCCGTTGGTTCACCCTCCAATGGCCGCCACGGCCGGCGCGCTGCGGCCGGCACACCACGCTGATCCGATGGCAGGAGCCAGGAGCCAGGTGCTTTTCCTGGTCTCCCATGGGGTGCAGGGCCCAAGCACCTGGGCCATCCTCCACTGCACTCCCTGGCCACAGCAGAGAGCTGGCCTGGAAGAGGGGCAACCGGGACAGAATCCGGCGCCCCGACCGGGACTAGAACCCGGTGTGCCGGCGCCGCTAGGTGGAGGATTAGCCTAGTGAGCCGCGGCGCCGGCCCTATTTATTTATTTTAAAGGCAGAGTAACAGGGAGAGAGAGCTTCTGGCTTCTGGTTCTTTTTTTTTTTTTTTTTTTAAGATTTATTTATTTATTTGAAAGTCTGAGTTATAGACTTTCAGAGAAGGAGAGGTAGAGAGAGAGAAAGGTCTTCATCTGCTGGTTCATTCCCCAGATGGCCACAATGGCTGGACCTGCGCCAATCAGGAGCCAGGAGCTTCTTCTGGATCTCCCACACAGGAACAGGGCCATAGCAGAGAGCTGGATCAGAAGTGGACCAGCCAGGACTTGAACCGGTGCCTATATGGGATGCCAGCACTGCAGGTGGTGGCTTTACCCACTATGCCACAGCGCCGGCTCTTTCTGGTTCATTCTTGAGTGGCAACAACAGCTAGGGCTGTTCCAAACTGAAGCCAGGAGCCCAGAATGCCATCCTAGTCTCCCACATTGGGTGGCAGGGGGCCCAAGCATTTGGGCCGTCTTCCATCGCTTTCCCAGTCACATAGGGAACTGGACAGGAAGTAGAACAGCTACTTAAAGAATCAAAATATATACTTTTTATACTCTTCAAAAGCAATTTCACAAGAAATTGCCTGGGGCTTTCCCTGTAGTGCAGCATGTTAAGCTGTGGCTCTGGATGCCTACTTCTCATGTCAGAGTGCCTGTTTTTCTTTTTATTTGAAAGAGTTACAGAGGAGGGAGTCAGGTCATCCATCCACTGGTTCACTCCCCCCAGAACTGGGCTAGGCCAAAGCCGGGAGCTTCTTTCACATCTCCCACGTGGGTGCAGGGGCCCAAGGACTTGGGCCATCTT